ATCTGGCAAAGATGTCATTATATACTGCTTTGGGGCTATCTGACCTCTCTAGGCCCCTGCCGCTACCTGGTAATGACAAGGCTAGAGCAGAATCCCTTTCTTGAAAGCTTCCCACTCATCAAAGAGGCAGGAGCGAGGATGGAAGGCCTCCTATGTTTTCTGCTTTGCATCTACTCATCTGTGTGCATGTCATTGCCCTCGGTAGGATGTAAGCTTCCTGAAATCAGGGATTGCTTGGTTTTGTCTGTGTTCTCGGTGCCTAGCATAGTGCCCAACACATAGTAGGCACTTAATAAATGCTATTCAAATGAATGGATGAAAGTACAGCCCTTCGTATAATTGAAGGCAGTTTTCCTATCTTAGCTCACCCTTCCACTCTCAATTTCCTCTTCTTCAAGCTAGTCAGTCAGAAGCCCTGAAACCTCTCTTCTGGGCATGCTCCAACTTGTCAGTGTCTTTCCTGAAATGTGGCCTACAGACCTGGGCAGAGGACAGTGGGACAACAATTACAGCCTTCCTTGTAATCATTCCACTTCTATAAATGTAGCTTGTGATCTCCTCAGCTTTTATTTTTTGGGGGGTTGGGGCTGCTGGGTCACACTATTGACTCATGTTGAGAGCTTATAAGCTTCTGAAACCCCAGAGGTCCTTTGCACAGACCTGTTGTGGAAGCCTGCCTCCCTGGGCTGGGTTTTCTGAGCCTATTCTGAGGCCCTGAACCAGCCAAACCTCATTGCTGTGTGATGCTAGACACCCACATGGCTTCTCTGGCTCTCCCAAGATGGGATTGGTGATGGGATCACAGAATGTCAATGTTGGAAGCTACATTGAAGGCCATCTAGTCCCTTCAGCTCTTGTTCTCAGGGCTTTCATTGGGGACCAGGTATACAATGGACAAAAGCCAACCCTTCTAGGACCCTTCTATTACATCCCAGACCCAACCAAGGTCACCCAGCTGGGAAGTGACAGAGGTGATATCCGAACCCAGCTCCTTCTAGTGTAAAGCCAGTGTCCTTCCCATAGTACCACACTTGCTCTGCTTGGCCTACCCAGCCCTCACTTAGAGGCCTCCAGTTCTGAGGAACCTACTTTCCCCCAGAGGCATACCACTTTGGGACAGCTCTTGATGGTAGGAGGCTTTTCCTGATCTCAAAATGAAATCTGCCTACAGACTACTTCTACCCCTTGTGGGCTAAGTTCTAGGAAGTTCTGCCTTCTGGGGCCAAGCAGAACAAGAATAACACCACGGAATGACACTGGCTTTAGACTAGGAGAAGCTGGGTGACCTTGGTTGGGCAAGTCACTTAATCTTCCTTGGGCTCAGTTTTCTATGAGAGTTAGATTCGATGACCTCTGAGGTCCTTCCAGCTCCAGATCTCTGACCCTCTTCCACATGACAGTCCCTCAGTTACTTGAAGACACCTATAGTATTTTCCCTAGGCTTTCTTTTCTCTAGGCTAAACACCACTCCTACAGCACCTCTTGGATCCTCACATGGCATGATCTCAAAGGACTTCCACATTCTGGCTCCTCCTCAGGATGCCTTCTGGCTTGTTGGTGTCCTTCAGAATTCTGAAACCATGGGTGAAAGGCACCCAAGCCAAGGGCAGCAGGGGCACTAGCTCAGGGGATTAGAGAGGGCTCAATGCTAATGAGGCCAGGATCACAAGTTGTATCTGGGCTAGTAAGCTCAGTTCTGATTCCCAGCACCAGAATCAGCTCCTGATTCTGGCTCAGCACCCATGGGCGTACCAATACACCCACTTGGGTGCCTGCCACAAAAGCCACAGGCCCAAGTAAGCAGACTATGAAGGGCTCAGAGCTCCCCTTGTCAGAGCTTTCATCAGTGAGCAGTACAGGATATGAGCACAGGTGTGAAATGGGGGAAAGTAAACCCTCCAAGAAGGGGGGGATTTGGGGGAGGGAGGAAGGTTGGAGGCAGGGGAAATGGAAGAGGAAAAGGATGCTGTACGAGACTGAGTGGGCAAGGGCTTCCCTACACTTCAGTTTAGTGGGTGCCTTAGGGAAGTCCTGAGTGGTCCCTTCTACTCAAATGAGGACAATGATTCCTGCTGTTCCCAACCAATGAACCAATGGAGAGGATAGCTGTGAACATCCTTTGAAAAGCTGCAATATTTACAGCAGCTCTTTTTTTGTGGTGGCAAAGAATTGGAGGCTGAGGGGATGCCCATCAATTGGAGAATGGCTGGACAAATTGTGGCATATGCCTGTGATGGAATACTTCTGTGCCATAAGAAATGACAGACAGGATGGTTTCAGAAAAACCTGGGAAGACTTGCATGAATTGATGCAAAGTGAACAATTGGTATGGTAAAGACAAACAACTTTGAAAGACTTGAGAGCTCTGGTCAGTGCAATGAACAACCGAAATCCCAGAGGACTCATGGTCAAATATGCTACCTACCTCTGAACAGAGAGGAGATGGACTCAGCCTGCAGACTGAAATATATTTGGGTGGGTGGGGAGGTGGGGGCAATGGCCAATATGGGGATTTGTTTTGCTTGATTATACATGTTTGAAACAGGAAAAAAAAGTTGCAAGAATGTTGGTTAGATTCGTTGAAATGTTTCTCTTTAAAAAAAACAAACCCAACATTCTTTGTCATAAGGGATGGCTTGCTGGGGAAGGGAGGAGGTTAGGACTGTCATTGACTCCTGATGTAGATTCCTACACCTGGCACTTAGTCCTAACTGGATGCCTTTGACGTGGGTTTCCATGGAGAAGCTTTCTACGGTGGAGAGATCAGTGGGCTAAGAGCCTGGGCGTGACCTGGGTTTGAGTCTTGGCCCTGCTACTAATTTGCTATAGGATTCTGGGCAATTCCCTTTCTCTCCCTAGGGTGGGACTGGACCACTTTTTAGGTCTTTTGTGTTATGTTTTCTAAGGTCCCTTCTGGCTCTGACACTTAGTGTTCTAAATTCTATCCTAGCCCTGACATTGCATGTTCTGAGGTCTCTCCCAGCTCTGACATTCGCTTTTGTAAACTCCTTCCAAGTTCCAGCATTCCCTGTTCTAAGGTCTTTCCCACCTCTGGTATTCTCTGCTCTAAGCTACCTTCAGTTCTGCAGTTCTCTGGTCGTATCCTCTCTCACATAACAGAACTCCCCAGCCTCCTCTCTCCTCCATCACCTTCTTTCTCTCCTCCTCCTCAGCTTCCTTCCCACACCCCAGCCTCCTTTCCCCTCCAGCTTCCTCCCCCCAACCTCCTTTATCCTTAAACCTTTCCCATATTGCAATTAAGTCCAAGGAGAGGCAAAGGCTCAGGGCTGGAGAGGGAGCTAACTGGGGAGACAAGAAGGTGGGGGTAACACTTGGCACCAGCTGAGGACCCTGAAGACAGAGCTGCGCTGAAGAGGGCCTGGGAGCTCAAGTCCAGGGAATTCCCAGCACTTCTCTGAGCTGGACCAAAGGAATTCTCCCCTCCTCCCCTGCCATGGATGGGAATGGGGAGAAGCCCTCCAGAGACCAAAGAGATGGCATTGAGAGGTCCCTGAAGCTGAGGAAACCTTCACTGGAAAGCCAAAAGGCTTAGAAATCAGCTGAGGAAGAAGCATCTCAGGTACCTAGAGGGAACCTGGCAGAGACCTCTGCTCAGTTGACCTTAGCCCAGGGAGGTGGGGGTAACAGTGGCCTGAGCTTCGGACACTCCTTTCCATGGCTTAGCCTTCTGGGGATGGTTCCTGGAGTTCTAGAAGTCTTGGTGGGAATTCTACAACCCTGGCCTATCTTACTTTAGGTTATTAGACCAAGGATCTAGAATCCTAGAACTCTATATTAGACTCTTAGCCTAGCCTCTAGGCCAATGCTCTCCTACTCTGCCCCAAGGTTCATTTCAGTGCCCAGGATTAGGATTTTAGAATCCTATATTTAGATCTGAGATCCAGAACTGGAAGAGTCTCCAGAAGCCATCTTGTCCAACTCACTCATTTTAGAGGTGAGAAAACTAAGGCCCAGAGAGGGGAACTGACTTATCCAAAGTCACACAGGTTAGTAAGTCTCAGCGGTAGGATTTGAACCTAGGTTACCTTGCTCCAGAACCAGTGGGCACTCCATTGTATCATAATGTTTATAATAGCAAGGAATTGGAAGGAAAGTGGGTACCCATTGGCTGGGGACTGGCTGAGAAAACTGTGGTATACAAATGTAAGGCAATGTGATTATGTTGTGAGAAATGGTGAATATGCAGAATTCAAAGAAACTTGGGAAGACTTGTATGAACTGATGCTGAAGAAGCGAGCAAGTAGAATCTAGAAAACAATTGTCATGCTGCCTACAATAATGTAATGGCAGACTTTGGAAGTGACCTCTCTGAGTGACCTTTCAGAACTTCTAAGGACTCATAGTGCAATATGCTTCCTGTCTCTTGGTAGAAAGCTGGTGGACTATTAGTGTGGAATGAATGGGGTGTACTTTGTCATGCATGGCTAACACATTGATTTGTTTTGTTTAACTTGTTATGAGAAAGGGTTCTGTGGAGGAGAGCATAGGAGCATAGAATTAGAACAAGGAAGAGATCATTGAGGTCATCTACTCCAATCTTCAGGTTATTTCACAGATGAGAAAACTGAGGCCCAGAGAGGTTGTGACATGCCCAAGGTCTTATAGGTAGTAAGTAGTGGAGCTAGGATTTGAACCCAAGCCCTTTGATTCCAGACAGAGACTTCTGGCTCTTTCATTGAAAAGTGAGAGCAAATGTTAAGAAAAAAAATTCCTTTCTTAAAAGCAAAGCCTATCTTAGACTCCTAGCCCAAAGGCCTAGAATCCTGGGAAGTGCCTGGACTTCTTCGGGCGGGACATCCTGGCCTGGGGCCAGGGTCAGGAAGTCCAGGATGGGAAGGCCTCAGATTTAGTGGGGGAGGGAGAGGGAAAACCAGTTTTAGTCTGGAAGTTTCTTCCCTGAAAGTTGCAAATGTGAGGTTTTGAGGCAGGGGACTTGAACTTTCAGTGCTGGTCTCAGCCCTGGGGGCACTGGTGGGGAGTGCTGTGAGGTCTCCTCACTATAGGCTCTGGCCCAGGGCCAACGCAAGGGTAGTTGCCACCAGGATGGTCAGTGATGCCGGAAGCCGGACCCAACTGCTGTTGTCAATCAGGGGCTCTGTGTTCTTCAGGAGCCACTCATACTCCTGCTTCAGGTTCCGCTGCTGCAGCTCAGGACCAATTTTTTGCCGGATTGTCTTATAGTATTGGTTCAGGTACTCGAGCTGGGGGTTGCCAAGGAAAAGACAGAGTGGTGAGAGCCAAGGTGGTTCAAAGCCAAAAGTTGTTTGAGGGGGAGGGGATGAAATCTGTGGGTCCTCTTCCCAGAGCCTCCCCTATGGTCCCTTCTGCTGCCTTCAGAGCTCATACGCCACCCCGCTGAGGCCAGGCTATCTGAGTTAGTGAATGAGGACCAGAACTAGCCTCCCACCCACTGTCAAGCAACATGGGCATTTTCACAAAGGCCTCTTCTGACCAATTTGTAAACCTTCAGTGACTTTCATTGACCATGGTATCACAGGATCCTAGATTTTGAGCTAAAGGGGATCTCAGAGGTCATCTAATCCAACCTCCTTTTACAAAAGAGGAAACTGAGGCCCAAGGAGGTTAAGGGACTTGCCCAATGTTGCACAGATAGCATATATGCGTCAGAATGGGATTTGAACCTCCCAAAGCAGTAGTCTTTCCACTGCTATTCCAATGCCAGGAAGGAGGAGAGAATAATGCTGAGGCAGGCTGGCAAGGTAGGTATGTCTATGCAGCTACTTAGTGACTCCTATACTGTCAGAACTAGGAAGAACTTGGGCCATAGAATGTTGAATGTCAAACCTAGAACCAAATCTATAGATCATCTATTTCAACCTAGTCATTAGACAGAGGAGGAAGCAGAGGCCTAGAGAGGGGAAGGGACCTGACCAAGCTCATCCAGGAGGTAAATAGCAGAGGCAGTACTCAAACCCAGGTCCAGACCACCCCACTGTGCCCCTCACTGGCCCTGGACCAGGGGTCTGGGGGCTTCTAGGATGGGGCTTTTACCTGCTCTGGCAGCAGCAGAGTAGTATTGATAAGGTTCCGGCTGTAGGGTACCAGGGACACCACCTCGAAGGCCAAGTAGGACCCGCCATACTTGAGGGCAAAAGAGAAAGTGGGAGGAGAATTAAGGAGGTGAAGGCTGGAGTTAGGTGAGGACAAGCAAGGCCTCTGCCCAAATCAGCTGCAGAACTAGTGTGTGTGTGTGTGTGTGTGTGTGTGTGTGTGTGTGTGTGTGTGTGTGTGTGTGTTGGGAAATGCCATCAGTCCAAGGGCCTGCAGGGGTGGGTAGGGTGGGGTCTTCTGGGCATTTACTTCCCTGCCACCAGCTTATAGTAATAGCAAAAAGGAAAACACCAGCTCCTATTTCTGTAGCACATTATGCTTTATAAAAGGTTTTCCCTATGAGGTAATGAGTACAAATACTCACTATGCTCATTTCACAGATGAAGAAACAGAGTCTTAGAGAAAGGAAGTAACTTGCCTAGGGTCACAAATTTATTAAGTATCAGAGGAGGACTTCTTGACTCTCACTCTAATACTTTTTCAGTATAACAGGCTGTCATTCATAGCTCTCCAGATTTAGTGTCTACCCCTCCCCTCCGTCTCCCAAAGAGCTGAGGAATTTCACCTATTTTCTAGTACGCCAAGGAGGATTCACTGTCTCTCCCTCCCCACCCACGTGGTCCATGGTCTTTCCCTACACGGCTGTATCCTTGGCACAGCCCCAGTTCTAAGTTACCTTGGTCTGGGCTTCTACCACCAGGGCCACATCTTCAATACGGATCCCAAATTCTCCATCCTGGTAGTAACCGGGTTCTGGAGGCAGAGATAAACCAGTGGGATCATGTAGAGGGTAGGCTTTAGGGGAAAGAGGGAAGGAGAGGCCTGAGATGCTGATAGGCTCAGGCTGGCCCTCTGGCCCTAGGAATGAGCATGACAGGATCATATCTTTAGAGATTTGCCTGCCCCTGCCTCCATTATTTAAAAGAGAATGAAACTGAGGGCCCAGAGAGGACATTAAGTGACTGGCTTGGGTTTAAGCCCAGCTCTTCTCTTTCCAAATCCAGTGCTTTTTCTTCTATGCCCAGAGGGAAAACTAGGGAAGTGCCACTTAAACTCTGTCCCAAGGCCTAGGCTACCCACCACAGGAATGTAGAAGGGGCCAAAGTTAACCCAAGCAACTCCCTCAGCAGCTAAGAGGTTGTTGTAGGAACCTGTCCTAGTTGGTCTGGTTTTTTTGTTCTTTTTTTTTTTTTTTGGCTAGGCAATAGGGTTAAATGACTTGCCCAGGGTCACACAGCTAGTTAAGTGTTATGTGTCTGACACCGGATTTGAACTCAGGTCCTCCTGAATTCAGGGCCGGTGCTCTATCCACCGGCCACCTAGCTGCCCCAAGTTGGTCTGGTTTTTCTAGCAACAATGTATGGCTGTAAGAGTTGGACTAAAGGATAGCTGAGTGCCATGGAATCGACACTTTGGAACTGTGGCGCTGGAGAAGACTTTTGAGAGTCCCTTGGATGGCAAGGAGGTCAGATCAGTCAATACTTAAAGGAATTCATTCAGTCTATTCACTAGAAGGTCAAATCTTGAAGCTGAAGGCTGGTGTGCCCACGTGACTGAACCATCACCACCACCACGGCTGAGAAGCCCTTATAGTAAGGGATTCCCCTCCTACTCAACTGATTTTGTCTTAATTACTCATGTTATTGTCACGTAATGAATTACAAAATTGATTAGAAGGGTGTTTTTTGCTGCTTGCCCCAGGGCCCAAATTTCTAATTACAATTCTGCCTACCACACTTGGGGAAGGACCATCCTCTATGCTCTCTACCCAGCTAGGGAGAGTTGTCTCATAGGCCAGAGTTAGGGGAACTGGGAGCCATACCTATGGATGTGAACATGCCTTTGGCCATAGCAATGTTGTTGGATTGGAATCCCACTGGCCCTGGAAGGGGAAGAGAGACATTGTCACCAGGGTATCTTTGGGGGCCCAGAGCAGAGTTGGGAACAATGTGGGCGGCTCAGTGCTGGGAATGGCTGTTCCATGAGGGAGATGAGGGCTCGGTGATGGAGGGTAGAGGGGAGGCTTAGTAAAGAGATGACAGGCTCAGGGAAGGGGAGAGGAGGGGAGCACAGTGTTAGGAGCTCAGTGACAGGATTAGAGGTCCAGTGAGGGCAACATGGGTTTAGTGAAGAAATGTTAGGCTAATTGAAGGGGATGGGGGTTCAATGAAATGCACCAGCCTAGGCCAAGGGGGTGGCAGCTGAGCGTCACGAATGGGGTCTCGGTGAAAGGATTAGGGGCCTGGTGAGGCAGGTGAAGGCATCTGGTGGCCTGAGGCCTGAGAAGATTTCTCAGGAAATCACAGCATTTCAGAGCTGGGAGGGCACTCACTCCCATACTGTCCCCAGGCCTGAGGATTCCTAGGACAAATGGGGCTAGGACTGAATGAGGAGGGCAGCTGGGGTCTCAGGGCAAGACTCAGGGAGAGTTGTCCTGGGTGAGGAGAAGGTTGGACATGTGGTACTGAGGGACTGATTGGGAACAGCAAACCATAGGCTTATAGTTCTAGAGCAGGAAGGGGCCTTCAAGGCCATCTAACCTGACCTCTTCATTTTGCAGATGAGGACACTGAGGATCAGACAGAAAAAGTAAGCTGTCCAAGGTCACACAAGCTAGGGCATGGCAGATCTGGCACTCAGAGCTCCATCCCCCCACCCCAGGTCACCTACATTCATGCACGGAGAGGAAGTTGCCAATGCCATGTCCTGTGCCATGCCCATAATTGAGACCAGCTTCCCACAGGGCTCTTCGGGCAAAGGCCTCCACTACTCGCCCTGGAAGAGAAATGGTACTGTTAGGGATGCCCGGATGTGGCTGCTGGCCAGGTGCCCTCTGGCCTCACCCACTTTGCTTCCTTGTTCCAAGGCCAACCTTGAAGCTGGTTTGCACTTATTGGAGAGAAGTAAACTAGGTACCAAGGATGGTAATACCATGAGGGAAGGACAAGGAGCCTAAGCTAATGCCTGGTATTCAGGTCTTTCTGTGCCTCTTCTCTCTTCCTTTCCCTTGCTCCAGCCAGGCTGGCCTCCTCACTCGTCCCTCTACCTGCCTCTACCCTTCTGCTGCCCTCAGTCGGGCTCAGGCTCTTCTTCCTCTCCCAGGCCTCCTACCTGGCCTTCCAGAACTAGCCCCCCCTCCCAGCTCCCTCCAGGAAGTCTTTTCTGACTGCTCTCGCCCACAAGATCAGCTCTCCATCCTCTGACTTTTGAAACAGTTCAGCACTTATTAAAAAGTGTTATTTTCTATATTCTCTCATTACTCATAGGCTCCTAGATCTAGAACTGGCAGCAGCCTTGGAGGCCATTGCCCTCATTTTACAGAAGAGGAGGCCCAGGGAAGGGAAGGTCATACAGGGGACAAGTGACAGAGCCCAGGTTTGAATCTGGCTGGAGTCAGAGGCTGGAGTTGTTGCTTCCTGAATATGGGGTCCCAGTTTTGTTCTATGATGTGTTTCAAGTCCTGGGTGATGGGACAGCAGGGACTCTAGGCCCAAGGCCCCAAAGTGGGTGCCTAGAGGGGAAAGGGAGACCACAAGCCCATCTGGGTAACCTCTCAACTGTCCTGAGATGGAATCCCAAAGCTGTGTCTGAGACCTACCTGATGTGGATGAGGGGAAGACAAGTCTACACAGGTCGATGTTTCCCATCAGCACCCTGGTGTAGGCTTCCTAGAGGGGACAGGACTGGTCAGCATACAGATCAGTGGCAGAAGCAGGGCAATGGGACCTTGGAGTTGGGGAGCCCATAACAGAAACAACCTGACTGTTAGCACACACTCATGGGGATAGAGGAGACTGGGCAGAAGTGGAAGGGCCCTTAGACATCACTGAGCCCAACCTCCTCATTTAATAGAGGAGGAAACTGAGTCCTGGAGAGGGAAAAGAACTTGCCCAAGATCATACAGCTAATAAGTGGCAGATTCAAGATTTGAACCTAGATCCTGAATCCCAGCCAAATGCTCTCTCCATAATACTGTATACAGCCTCTCAGATCTGCCATTAGCTAACTAGGGGAATATGGATGGCTAGCTTAGCCTCTCTGGCCTCAGCTTCCTCATCTATTAAAACATTCAAATTACCTTAGATGGGAGACACTGGTTGCTCATGAATGCAGCAAGAACTCTGTCCTGGGAGGCCAGAGTCCTTGCTTAACCCGGTAACTTGTTCTGTGACCTTAGGCAAGTCCCTCCCCTTCCCCAAGACTCAGTTTCTTCATCTGTAAAAGGAGGGAGTTGGACTAGATAATCTCTAAGGTAGGGCCCTTGCAGCTTGGATGCCATGGTTCTTTGTGACCTTGGACAAGAACCTTCCCTTCTCTGGGTCTCAGCTTCCTGATCTGTAAAATGGGGAGCTTGGGCTAAATGGCCTCGAGGTCCCTTCCAGCTTTAGGTCCATATCTGCATTCCAAGATGCAGCTTCTTCTCCAAATAGAAAGGGGCCCTGAATGCCAGACTGAGAAGCTGGGATGTGATCTGACAGGCTGTGATTTCTACATCTATGTAAGTTTGTAGGATATGATGGGAAGGCTGGTGGCTCTAAGCCCCCAGAGAACAGATGTTACCAGAAAGTGCTTTGTGAGAAATGATTTTAGATGATGGTGGGGGTAATGGTGGGGTCTTGCCTCTGCCACTGAGATGCTGTTGTCCTCAATGACCTTCACCCAGAGCCAGATGGTCATCATCATTTATTCTTGTGGTAGAGCCTTCCATGGCAGGCCCCTCTTATATCACCTTAGATCCCTTCTCAGTAGACCAAAGCCCAGCTCCTCATTCTGGCATTCATGATCTGACCCCACCATACTAATCTAATCTGAGTTCCCATGACTCCCCTACCTGACCTCTCTTCTCCAGGTGGTCTCAGTTTTCTGCCTCTGTATCTTTGGCTTATATCATTCTGGGCCACTAGACTCTCTCAGCCTTCCCATCCTTCCATCCAAAACTCACCTATTCTCCAAAGTCCTTATAAAATTCCACTGACTTCAGGAAGCTTTCCAGGATTACTACACCCCACACTGGTGTTGTCTTTCTCTGTATTCCTATAGAACTTAAGGATCTGAGGGGCAGCTAAGTGGCGCAGTAGATAGAGCTCCAGCATTGGAGTCAGGAGGACCTGAGTTGAAATCCGGCCTCAGACACTTGACACTTACTAGCTGTGTGACCCTGGGCAAGTCACTTAACCCTGATTGCCTCAAAAAAAAAAGAATTTAAGGATCTGGACCACACAGCCCCAGTCTGTCTTTGTTCCATGGGTGACTATCATAGCCTTCTTCATCTAGAGTTGGAAGGAATCTCAGAGACCATTTCGTACAACCTCTTCATTTTACAGAGGAGGAAACTGAGGCCCAGGGAAGGGAAAGGACTTGCCCAAAATCATACAGCTGCAGAACCAGTGCTCCTTCCCCTGTACCACAGTGCTTCTTTCTTGTAGAGGATGAGGTGGAATTAATACTCAAAGTTTGACAAGTGGTGGGATCAATGTATGTGTGTATGCATGCATTGTGTGTATGTGCACATGTGGTGTGTATGTGCATGCACGTGTGGGGTGTGTCATGTGTTTATGTATATGTGTGCATGTATCTATGGCATGTGCATGCATATGTATGTGTGCGGTATATGTATGTACTGTGTATATGTGTATATATGTATGTACACACGTATGTGTATGTGGGGTGTGTGTGTGTGTGTAGAGTGACCTGAAACTTTACTTGATTTCCAAACTTTGACTAGCCTTTGAGCTACTGCCACATGGCCACACTTGGCTGGGAGGAAGAAGAGCTCAGAATATGGGGCATGGGGGGTAAGGGTTGAGTGGCTAGGGACTGAAAGCTTGACCTTAGGGCATTCATCAGGCTCTATTCGGATCACATGATTGATGGGGTTTCCTCAAGCTTGCCCATTCGCTGTAGAGCAATGCAAGACAGGAGGAATGTGGGTGGTGACCACCCCATCAACTTCAAAAGCAGCTATGTTGACCCCAGCCAGACTGTGGGGGGCTTTAAATGGTATGCTGAGGAGCTGGCATTTTACCTAGAGGTGATGAGGACCTACTGATGGTGCTGTAGGAAGGTTACTTTGGCAACTGTGTGGAGGATGGGATGGAGAGGGGAGAGCCTGAGTCAGTCAGTATCTTATTACAACAGCCCAGGGGAGCACTGATGAGGGATTGGCTCAGGGTGGTGGCTGTGTGAGCGTCAAGAAGGGAACAGATGGGAAAGATGTGTGGAGGTAGAATCAATGGGACCTAGAAAATGATCGAAAATGGAGGAGGAAGCATGGTGTTGGTTTTCAGTCTAGGTGATTGGTGGGGTTGGTGGTGCCTTTGACAGAAAATGGGAAGTCTGGAGGAAGGATGTAATAGGGAAGAAGGTAATGAAGAGAATTTGCTTTGGACACATTGAGTTGGAGATGCCAATATTAGATCCCAGCAGAGATGTCCAGGAGGCAGTTGGCAATATAGAAATGCATGTGAGAGAAAAAAAAAGAAATGCATGTGAGAGATGACATGTATAGTTATCTACATGGAGATCAGCAGATGAGAGTACCGAGGGAGTGTAGAAGGAGAAAAGAAGGGGGCCCAAGGAAGAGCTTTTGGGGAGTCCTTAATAGGCAGGAGATGGGTGATAGAATGGAAATGACAGAAGTGGGAGGAGAACCAGGAGTTTGGTTGGGCAAGGAAGAAGAAATGAAGAATGCTGCACACCTCCTGAGAGATAAGAGATGGCTTCATCACGCTCAATGAGACAGACACTTTTGGACCTGGCCAATATGGGAGTTTGTTTTATATGATTATGCAGATTTGTTACAAGGTCGGTTTTTTTTCCTTTTTTCCCAGTGAAGGGGAGGTAGGAAGGAAAGAAAATTAATGTTTAATTGAAAAATATTAATTAAAAAAAAGAGGAAGAGGGAAGAAGGGAAAGATAGAGAAGAAGAGGGAGAGAATAAGACCATGACAAAAGGGGTTAGGAGCTGGGAAGTAATGAGATAAAAGGCCCAAACGGAGTTTACATGTCTCCCCACTGCAGTAATATCAGGCTCCAAAGTTGGGAGCAGAAAGTATGTGTAGGGGGGAAGTGGCTGAAACGCTCGGATATGCTTTGTACCTTTTGGAATGAAGAAGGGATCCCCCAGTGGACTGTCCTGGTGATGTCTGTTGTTCCATCCCTGCAGGAAAAGGAAAAACCCTTTGGTCACATTCCAGCCTGAGCTTTGTGGCACTGGGAGCCCATGCAGGTAAAGGAGAATGGTCTAGTCATGGACCTCTGTTGCCTGGAGGGGCTCAGCCCACCTCCCTTGGCTGAAAATGGAGAACTAGGTGAGGAGAGAGTGGAGAGATCAAGATTAACCATCAATACGGGGTGGAGGGTGGGCTTGCTTGATATAATTGACAGAGAGAAGAGGGAGTGGACTTGTGATTTCACTGGAATAGGTATATTCCTGGATGGAGAAATTCCCTGTAGCAATGCAGGTCAGCACTTCTGCAATTTCAAGTCTTAAAGAATTGTACCGAGAAGTACCATGACTCACACAGGGCCAGATAGCCAGACCATACTCCAGAATAACTGGCTGGGAGATGAATTGTTGTAAGTTGAGTCTTGTTTGAAATTCAACAAAGACATCGAATGTCAGAATTGGAAGGACTTTTAGAACATAAAATGGCAGATCTGGAAGGGATCTTAGAGATCATTTATTCTGATACCTTTATTATTTTACAGAGGAGGAAAATGAGGCCCAGAAAGGTCAAGTGACATGCCCAAAGTCACACAGCTATTAAGTGGAAGAACTAGGTTTCCTGATCTCCACCATTGGACTGTACTATCTCTATTTGACTCAATTTGTAGCTATGGACAAAGGTCACCAGGACAAATTCCTCAGTTTTGGGAGCTCTGCCTGCCCCATTCCTCCCTTGGAGGAGTTTAGGATTCCTGGGTTCTCAGGAATCAGGTCACCGGGGGGGGGGGGAAGGGGCTTTCATTTTGATGAAGGCAAGAAGAGGAAGAGAGATGACCATGAACCAACTTTGCCTCTCCCTGAATTGAGTAAGCCTGAAACTCCAATCAGCCCCTCTCACTCATCACTCCCACGGCTTCCTTTCCCTTTTACGAGAACGCTTTCCATGATTTCAACACTCATTGATGGATGCATGTGGTCAGTTCATCTCTCTGGGGCCAAATCATGGTCTTGCTTGTAGGCTCTGCTTAGGGGCCACCTAAGGGGCCATGGAGCTCACCCCTAGCAACCCAGTGACCAATGTCCATTCCCTTCTCCCATTTCCCTGATCTTCCCTTGGCCTTGGTCACGCTCACTCTCCTCAGCCCTCCTCGCTTCATACTTATTTGAGTAAATGCTGTATCCCTCCTACTAAAAATCCCTCCTTGCTCTTTCTTGTATATTTTTCTCTCTCCTCAGTCTTTATTTTTTATTCTTCTTTTTCATCATGTGCTTGATAAACAGCAGAGATAACATTTCCACGTGGGAAGAACAGAGAAAAAGGATTATATGTGACACTATGAATTTGTTATTTAAGCATTTGGGGTTTTAAAAACTATATATTCACTTGAACACAATAGTGCCAACATTAACCTGCTTTTCTATGTCCCCTTCTGAACTTTCTTCTGATCTCTTCTATGTATTATAAGAATGTTTTGTTGACAATCTTTTCTTTCTTCGGTATTGCTACTCCTTAAATCTCCGCCATGACCATAAAGTTTGTAGGCCCCTAAATCTAGAGGTAGAATGAAGCTCAGAGGCCGTGTAGCCTCCTCATTTCACATTTCAGGAAACTGAGGCCCAGGGAGGGGAAGGGACTTGCCCAAGGTCACATTGGTAGTAAGTCTCAGAGGTGAGATTTGAACACAGGTCCCCTGACTCCAAAGGCTACAAGGTGGCACAGTGGATAGAATGCCAGACCTGGAGTTAGAAGAACCTGAGTTCAAATGTGGCCTCAGACACTTACTAGTGACCCTGGGCAAGTCACTTAAACCCATTTGCCTCTGTTTCGTCATCTGTAAAATGAGCTGGTTAAGGAAATGGCAAACCCCTCCAGTATCTTTGCCAAGAAAAAGTCAGACATGACTGAAAAGCAACTGGACAATAATAATTTCTGGCTCCAGAGCTAGGGCGTTTTCCACTATACTTAATCATGCTGCTTCCGTATTTACTTATATTCCTATATGTTGTCTCTCCATCCCCAATGGAATGTAAGCTCCTTGAGGACGGGGCTGTTTTGTTCTTTGTACTTCTTTCCCCAGCACCTGGCACATAGTAGGTTCTTTTTAAATGTTGGTGAATCGATTTGATTTTTGCAGTTGTCCATGCTGGCAGTGACAGAGAGGAGAGCTGTAGGGTAAGAGTTTGAGGGAATGGCTGGGTCAATTGAAGGGGGTTTTTATCTGCTTTTATTTTAATTTTTTAAGGCAGAGAGAGCTATGATTACATCTGTAGGCATTAAGGAGGGAGCCAGTACAGAGGATAAGATTGAAAGATGACAGAGAGAGGGGGAAATTCTTGATGGAGCTGAAAGGAGGTGCTACATTAGAACATAGAACCATAGAATGTTAGGAGGGCTCTTAAAACAGAGAATGTTCAACATGACAAAACAGGAAAATGATAAATGTTGGAGAAGATGTGGGAAAACTGGAACACTAATGCATTGTTGCTAGAGTTGTGAAATGATCCAACCATGCTGGAAAGCAACTTGGAACTATGCCCAAAGGGCTATAAAAATGTGCATACCCTTTGACCCAGCAATACCACTTCTAGGTCTATATCCCAAAGAGATAATAAAAATGGGAAAAGGACCCACATGTACAAAAATGTTTATAGCAGCTCTTTTTGTGGTGTCCAAGAATTGGGAATTGAGGGAATGTCCATCAATTGGGGAATGGCTGAACATGTTGTGGTATATGAATGTAATGGAATATTACTGTGCTATAAGAAATGATGAGTAGGCAGACTTCAAAAAAACCTGGAAAGACTTGTATGGACTGATGCTGAGTGAAGTGAGCAGAACCAGGAGAATGTTATACACAGTAACAGCCACATTGTGCAATGACTAACGTTGATAGACTTAGCCCTTCTCAGCAATGCAAAGATCTAAGACATCTCCAAAGGTCTCATGATGGAAAATGCTATCCACATCCAGAGAAAGAACTATGGAGTCTGAATGCAGATCGAAGCATACTATTTGCTCTTTTTTTCTTCTATTTTGTTTTGTTTCCTCTTTCTTGTGGTTCCTCTTATTGGTTCTAATTCTTCCTTACAACATCATTAATGTGAAAATATGTTTAATAGGAATGTATACGAATAGCCTATATCAGATTGTGCGCCATCTTGGGGAGGAAGGGAGGGAGGGAGGGAGAGAAAAATTTAAAACTCAAAAGCTTATGGAAGTGATTGTTGATACATCAAAATGAATTAATAAAAAAAAAACAGAGAATGTTAGAGCTGGAAAAGACCATAGAGACCATTTAATCTAATCCACTCATTTTACAAATGGGGAAACTGAGATCTAGGGAAGGCAAGTGACCTTTGTATACAATACATTTTACTTTGCATCAGCCCATGCGAGTCTTTCCAGGTTTTTCTGAGAGCATCTTGCTCATGATTTCTTAGAGTACAATAAATATTCCATCATAATCACATACCACAACTTGTTCAGCCATTCCCCAAATGATGGGCATTCCCTCAATTTCTAATTCTTTGCCCTCAAAAAAGAGCTGCTATAAATATTTTTTTACATGTGGGTCCTTTTCCCATTTTTATTATCTCTTTGTAATACAGATCTAGTAGTGGTATTGCTAGGTCAAAGGATATGCATGGCTTTATAGCCCTTTGGGCATAGTTCCAAATTGCTCTACAGAATGGTTGAATTAGTTCACAACTCCAACAGTGCATTAATGTCTCATTTTTCCCATATCCCCTCCAACATTTGTCATTTACCTTTTCTGTCCTATTAACTAATCTAATAGGTATGAGGTAGTACCTCAGAATTGTTTTAATTTGCATTTCTCCAATGAATAGTGAATTAGAATATTTTTTCATATGGCTATAGGTAACTTTGGTTACTCCATCTGAAAACTGATCATATCTTTTGATCATTTATCCATTGGGGAATGGATCTTATTTTTATAAATTTGACTCAGTTCTCTATATATTTGAGAAATGAGGCCTTTATCAGAAAAACTTCCTTCAAAATTTTTTTTCACAGTCACTATTGCTAACTCTATTTCCCTCCATTCTACCCCCCCCATTTATTCTATTCTCTCTCTTCTTTCACACTGTCCCTCCTCAAAAGTGTTTTGCTTCTGACTACCCCCTCCTGTAATCCCAGGTCATTTTTTTTTGGGACTAGATCCAGGATTTCATTAATGTAAGGAACTCCCACTGGGGAAACTCCCTCTACCAATGCATATTGACAAATACTTTGCAACTTACAGTGATTTGTTCCAAGTCATACAGTGAATCAGTGGCAAAGCTAGGATTAGAACCCAGGACCCCAATGCCCAGGCCAGGACTCTCTCCACTATTGTAGGGGTTCTTAATCTTGTCCATGGATAAATTTTTGGGGTCTGGGGGACTTAGATGGAGAAAAGACTACATCTTTATTTCAATATAATTTGTTTTCCTTTGTGGTCCTGTGTATTTTATTTTGTCATTTAAAAACATTATTCTGAACAGGGGGATCCACAGACTGCCAAAGGGATCCTTTGTACACAAAAATGGTAAGGCGCCCTGCACTACACCCAGTTGCATCTTGGTAAATCTATTTTGTACTGGATGCTCCCTGAGGGCATGAAGTGGAGTGGTAGAATTCTCTTGAGTCCCTCCACGAGTCTGAGGCAGAGGAGAAAGGGAAGAGAGAGCACCTACATGAGCTGGACAGACCTGAGTAGGGGGGAATGACTCACCAATATTGCCCTCCAGAATCCAGCAGATACATCTCATCTTGGGACAGGGTGCGGTGGATCTCCTTGGTTGGACTGAAAAGGAAAAGGGGATCTGGTGAAAGAGCAATTTAAACCTGCTCTCCTGCCCCTTCTTCATGTAGCCCCAGGATTGCACTATCTATCTAGGGCTGGACTTATGCATGGAAAGACTACATGGCCACTCATGTGATATGAAGATTGCAGAAAAGAATCCCTTGGGTGGAGCCAAGACGGCAGATTAGGGGCAGCCACCCAGCTGAGCTCTCTCCCAATGCTCCTCTCCAAACAACTTTAAAACAACACCTCAAATCAAATTTTGGAGTGGCATAGCCGACAAAAGGTCAGGGGGAGACATTTTCCTGGCCTAAGAAAACTTAAGAGGTCAGCAGGAGAAGTCTGTGACACTGGGGTGGAGGCCTGTCCAGAGCCCCACACACGTGGCTGTAGCAAAAGCAGCCACCACAGCAGCAGTGGCTTTGGGAGCTCTTGGCCCAGAGATGAGAAGGGGATTGGACAACTGGTCAGGAAGAAGTTATAGGGGACCCTTTGCTGGCACTGGGTATAGCTGGTGCTGATTGGCTCTTTTGGTCATATGTAGTTCTGGGTTGCAGTTCCAGAGCAGAGAGGAGTGCTAGGGGTCAGGCACAAGGGAACAGGGGCCCTGGTTGCAGTTCTGAAGCAAAGAATAGTGCTAGCACCTGTGGCTGCAGGGGACAAAGAGTCCTTCCTGGGTCAAGACCAGAGCACAGACCAGGAAAGCAATGACCATACCTCTCCCAGGATCATACCACTTTGGAAGCACCAAAAAGTTGCAGACCTCCAGAACTAGCTTTGAAAACAGCAGCATGAAAAAGCTTGAAACTTGGGACAGTGCTTCCCCACCCCCAGGTGAGTAGAACCCATATTTAACATAAAATTCAAAATCAAGAAATAGGCTGAAAAAATGAGCAAATCACAAAGAAGAACCTGACAATAAAAAGCTACTATAGTGTCAGGGAAGACCAAGACATAAACTCAGAAGACAACAGTGTGAAGGCTACAACCAAAGCCTCAAAGAAAAATTTAAATTGGTCCCAAACCCAACAAGAATTCCTGGAAGAGTTAAAGAAAAAGATAAGAGTAGTAAAGAAAAAACCAGGGGAAAATAAGAGTGATGCAAGAAAATGATGAAAAGAGAATTAACAGCTTGGTAGAAGAGGCACAAAAAACACTGAATAAAAGAACACCTTAAAAAGCAGAATTCACCAAATGGAAAAAGAGGTACAGGTAGTTTTCAGAAGAAGAAATCAAAGATAGTTATAGTCATATGAAAAAAATGCCCTAAATCATGAATGATTAGAGAAATGTAAATTAAAACAGCTCTGAGATACCACCTCACATCTATCAGAAATGACAAATGCTGGAGGGGATGAGGGAAAAATAGGGACATTAATGAATCATTGGTGGAGTAATGAACTGGTCCAACCATTCTGGAGAACAATTTGGAAGTAGGCTCAAAGGGCTATAAAACTGTGTCTACCCTTTGACTTAGAAATACAATGACTGGGTCTGTATCTCAGAGAGATCAAGGGAAAAGGAAAAGGACCTATTTGTACTAAAATATTTACAGCAGCTCTTTCTGTGGTGGCAAAGAATTGGGATGCCCATGAATTGGGGAACGGCTGAACAAGTTGTGGTATATGATTGTGATGGAATACTTCTGTGCTATAAGAAATGACGAGGAAGGTGGTTTCAGAAAAACGTGGCAAGACCTACGTGAAATGAAGCAAAGTGAAGTGAAAAGAACCATGAAATCATTGTGCACAGGAACAGCAATGTTGTAATGATGATTAACTGTGGAAGACTTGGCTACTTTGATCAATACAATGATCTAAGACAATTCCAGAGGATTCATGATGAAAAAATGCTATCCACTTCCAGAGAGAAAACTGATGAACTCTGAGTGAAAATTGAAGTATAATTTTATCACTTTTTTTTTTGCTTTTTAAAAAAATGTAGCTAATATGGAAATGTTTTGCATGGTTTCACATGTATAATTGCTATCACATTGCTTGCCTTTTCAGTGGGTGGGGAAGAGGATGGAGGGAGGAAGAGAATTGGGAACTCAAAATTTAAGAAAAGAATGTTAAAAATAAATGAATTACAATGTAAAAAAATGTAAAAAAAAAAGAAAAGACTCCCTTCTCTTCCCCTCAACCCCATCCTCACCTCCTTGTAATTCCTTGCCTTTGGGGTAAGAACACTGTACATTAGCTGAAAAGAGGAGGAAAGGAGGAAGAGTTAGTCCTTTATGAATAACATAGTCTGAAGTAGTCAACCGTATTAGCTGGCTGTCAATCAATAGAGCAGGGCCCTGAAAGCACAAGACACAAGACATATCCACTAGTCTTTATGAAGGAAAGGAAAAGGAAAAGAGATAGAGCCATAGGATGAGGTAAGGGAAAGGATTTTAGGACTTCTCTAGTCCAATCTCCTCATTCTACAGATTGGGAAAAAGGTAGTTGGGGGAAATGACTTGTCCAAAGTCAGACAGATAAAGTAGAAAACATGCAATGCAAGGTCTGGAAGAGAACTTACAGGTTGCCTAGTCTAACCCCATCATTTTTTTTTTTTGCAGGAAAGTGACTTAGCCAAGAAGGTTAGGCAGAGTCAGTAGCAGAGCTGGGGCTAGAACCCAGGACTTAGAACTCCTAACACTGCCTCCCCTAGGAGATCAAAGGTTGAATGGGAGGGCTGGGAAATATGTGTGTATGTGTAGGGGGGCGTTTCATCAGGATCTGCAAATTTGATCCTTGTCATCACTTGATTTTGCAGGGGTCAAAGGCCGGGAGGCATCCAAAAACCTCTTCTAGAATGGGAACATTAGTAGAGGAAGCTTGTCTGGTGACAAGGGAGGGACTTGCTTGACCCAACTCCAGGCCAGGCCTTGGAGGGTGAGTGTTAAGACTCCAACCAACACCCCTCCCCCCATGGCCCGGCCCAAGTCCAGCCAAGTTGGAATGCCTGGGCAGGAACCCCCACTATCCCTGGACTAGCCTGGCCATGGGCAGAGAGACTCATCACCAGATTGGCCGAAGGGGTATGTGGGAATTTTTCTGCCTTAATAACTCACGTAGACCATCCCCTAAGGTGGGCATGAGCTAGGATGTGTCTCTGCGGAAGGAGAATCCCCCTCTTCCCCCTGCCCCGACTAGGTCATGGGTACAGTGGAGTACAGATGAGAAGTGATGGGAGCAACGGATTGGGAGTCAGGGCTGGTTCAGCTACTTAGCATGAGGTCAGAGGATTTAGAGTTGGTGGGAATGGTGGAACAGAAAGTCACAACGGGAGGGCCCTTAGAACAGAGAATCTCAGAAGGGAGAGGATTCCTAGAACACAGAATATAGAATGCCAGAGCTTGGAGAGAACTTGTTCTAAGCCTAGAGCTTAGAGCAGAGACCCAGAGAACAGAAAATGTTAGGACCAGGAGGGACCTTAAAGATCATGTTGTTGACCTCTCATTTTACAGGAAACTGGGGAGGGGGGAGGTTGTCCAAGGTCATGCTGGTAGTAAGCAGCAGAACTAGGGCAAGGCACTGACCTACTTTGAGTCACAGTGGGTCCATCTGTGAAATGGAAGAACCACACTAGGTCATGCGTGAGGTCCCTTCCAGCTTTCACATTCTTGGTTGCTGGGATTCCCTGGCTGTGTTTATGTGATGTTGTGAGCCATCTGGTCAGCCTGGCCAAAGAATTCCGCCAAGCTTCCAGATGTTTGGTCTAGAAAGGTGCCAAACATCTGGCTTGCGTCCCCCCTTGGACGTACTCTTGTTCAGCTCAGGCTGGACTAACGGGAAGCTTTGGTGGCCTCTTTCCACATCAGCTCTCCCACAGGTTACCCAACAGAAAGAAACAACAGGAAAGAAAAGATTCAGCCGTCACTTCGGAGCCATCTCCCACTCCCCCAGCCCCTCGGCGCTGGGGCTATCACACAGCTCCGGCCCAAACTGCCAGCTCATGGCTTCCCCCCATAGAGAGATTCCTAAGTGTCTGCCCAGCCCACAGTGCTCAGGGCCCCTGAATTCTAATGGACAACTCAGCCTCAAGACTGGTGGCCTCTGAAGTCATTCCACACTCATACCTGTAGTGAGCCAAGGCTGCATTCAGGCCACTGGCTGAGATGGTTTCAAAACTGGGCCCTGATGAGAATTCTTCTTCTCTGGATTGAATAAGAAGAGAGTGGGTCTGGGGCTTGACTGGAAGAGTGGGGGGTAGGGGTGTAGGGCCAGGATCAGGAAGTCTGAGGGGCCAGAACGAGGGCTCAGATGAGCTGCTCTCTAGGGCAGGACTGGATTCTGAAGACTCTTAACGAGACTTAGCCCTGATGGGGAAAAAAGCCATGGATTTGAAATCAGAAACTCCAGGGTCCAAATCCCAGCTCTGCTGCTGGCCACCTAAATGTGACCTTGGACAAATCATTTAGCCACTCTTGAGACTCAGTTTCCCTGCTTAGAAAATCAATAATCAATCCACAAGCATTTAGTAAATGCCTACTCTGTGCCTGGCTTTGTGCTAGGCCCTGTGGACGCCAGAGACAAAAATAAAACAATCCCTGCCCTCAGGAAGCTTTTTTCTCTCTGTGAGCTCTGTGACTGTGTAACTCTGTAGACCTTTCCAGCTCAGATGTACTATGATTCAACAGTCCCTGCTATATATAGCCCTTCCTCCACTCCATTTCCTCTTCACCCTCCTGAACAATCCTTTCATCACTATCCCTACTGCCACCACCCAAGTGGATGATCAAAACCGCCTCCCAAGAGGTCTTCCTGCCTCCACTGTCTCTGCATTCCAACACTCCCTCCATATGGCTGCCAGTATGGCTTGTCTTTTACAAACATCTGATCATGCCACTCTACTCAAAAGTCCTCAAGGGCTCCCTATTATCTACTGATTCAATTTTTAATTCAATTGTGGGCATTCAAGGCTTTTCATGCTCTGACAACACCCAACCATTTGCACAACCTCATCTTGCACTGCTTCCTTTAGTCAAATTGGATTACTGCCTGCTCTCTCCTAACACACCTTGAGCCTTCCCACCTCTGTATCCTCATTTATATTGTCTCCCACCCCAATTCCAACCCAGAGGATGTTGCATCCTTTCCTAGGCTAGGAGCCTGGAGGGCAAGGACCAAGTTTGGTCTACACCTTGTAGATCCCCTCCCCAGCCCTGGGCTCTGCATAGAGCTGTCACTTGAGAATGAATACTTGTAGTGTCTAGCCTTAGGTGGGATCTGGAACAAGGCAGGTGTATCTCCGCTGCAGGGAGCTCACTGCCTAGCTCCACTGTGTCCCGAGATGGGGGTTGGGAGTGGTGCTAAACCCAGCTAGGTGATCCAGAGGGACTCTGGCCTGGGCCCTAATGCCCACTTCACCCCCATTCCCAAAGCAGTCACCAGGTGTCACTGTGGCACTGGGAACGCTGGGGACACCAAAGGGGCCAGGGGTGGGGCTAGGGCCTAACCAGATGGGACCAAGTGTAAGGGGATGGGGTGGGGGGTGGGGCGGGAAGAAGAGCCACGAACTTACCCCCGGAACTTGTTCACCTGTTCTGCCCCTGAGAATTCATCTACGGTGCCCTGGGGGACATTCTCCTCCAGCCACACCAGGTACCTGATCATAGCCACAGCATCCCGCACCTGGAGGGGGAAGAGGCTAACAGGCCGCAGGGCTGGGACCCAGGGTAGGGCAGACAATGTGGCCCAGCCATGGGCCCCCTGAGGGAGGGAGGGGTCGGGAAACACAGAGCTGTACCCTGAAAATCCAAGTTCCAAACCCTCTTGATGCAAGCCATCCCTTCAGTTTCAATGGACAAGAGTCCATGGGGAGGCCCAGAGGGGCTGTCAGGCTCAGGTTCTGGCTGGGGGTCACAAGGCTGGAAGGTTTTGTGTTTCTTTTCTAATCAAAAACCAAATTCATATTTTGTTTGTTACATCGCCTGAGTTTCTTCCTGTATCCTTCCCACTTCCCAGAGAGGCATCCTTTCTAACAAAGACTTTTCCTTTGCGGCTGTTCTTGTGGATTTTCTGAGGTGTTAGACCAGGGCCTCTGGTCAGAGCAGACCACACACTCCCCCATTGGTGCTAATGACTTACATGTGCAGCCCTGAGCAAATCCTGCTCTTTTCTGTTCTTCACTGATTTGGCCACCATCACTGGAGAGTAGGAGTCCTCTACAAGTTTCTCCTGTCCAGGGAATAGAGAGCAGTGAAGAGAGGAACTGATGGTCCTCAGTGGCGCCTCCAGGCCAGAGACTCCTCGCCCAACGAAAGGCAGGTTGGAAGTGCCCAAGCGTGGCCGGGGAGAGGGCCATCTAAGTATTCCCCTCACCCTCCACACCTTCCCTTTGGCTCAATGCCTACCCAGATCACCCTCCTCCCAAACCCAGATCAAAAACACCAGCTCCAAGAAACATTTCCTGATTGACCCCACAAATGAGGATTACCTCTTTCCTCTAAACTTTGGAACTCAGCCTACTTGGTACCCGTTCACCTCGGTACAGTATTCTCAAACCTTTTCATGTATGCATGTATTTTCTCTCTAACTCTGTGAACTCCCCGGGGGTAAGGATTTTATCTTCCCCTTTCTTGCCCTCCCTCCACTGGCAAGTAATAGAATCAAGGTAGCTAGGTAGCACAGTAGTTAGAGCACTGGGCCTGGAATCAGAAAGACCTGAGTTTGAATCCTATCTCAGGTACTTCCCAGCTGTGTGACCCTGGGTAAGTCACTTAACCTCTGCCTTAATCAGTCACCAGTAAAATAAGATCTGTAGAATGACCTTATGAAGGTGCTTATCCAATGTTACACAGTAGAAAGTGTCAAAGACAGGAACTAAACCCAACTTTCTCCAATTCCAAGCCCAATGATTTTTACAGTAGCTTTCCTAATCAGGGGACCTGGGCAAGGTGTGATGGCTTCAGCACCAGAGACAGAGGCAAGGTGAGTTGGAGGACTGGAATCCTGGGATTTGTCATGGAATGGAAGCATTTGGAACTCCTTTGGCATCCTCACCTGGGGTATGACCCCATAGAGCCCATAGGTGGTATATTCAGTTCCAATCCAGACTCGTACATCTTCCACACTATACTTCTGGATGCTTTCTTGGATTCGGCCATAATCTTCAATTTGTACACACATTGGGCCTGTGCAGTCTGAGCTCAAGTACTGTAGGACGTCACTGCTCAGTCGGCTTGCATTCACAAATAGCCTGCCAGTGATGGAGGAAAAATCAGGAAGGCCCCAGTTGGGGTGCTGAGGACCAGGATGTAAAGAGTTGTTTCAGGGGCAGCTAGATGGCACAGTGGGTAGAGCACCAGCCCAGAGTCAGGAGGACCTGAGTTCAAATCCAGCCTCAGACACATAACACTTACTAGCTGTGTGACCCTGGGCAAGTCACTTAACCCCAACTGCCTCACAAAAAAAAAAAAAAAGACTGAATGAGAAACTTGAATTTTGGGGGCAGCCAGGTGGTGCAGTGGATAGAGCACTGGCCCTGAGGTCAGGAGGACCTGAGTTCAAATCTGGCCTCAGACCAAACACTTGACACTTACTAGTTGCATGACCCTGGGCAAGTCACTTAACTCCAATTGCCCCAAAATAAAAACAAATGAAAAAAAAAAAGAGTTGCTTTCCCTGGGCTGAGCCTAGAAAACATTTCCTGTGGGATCAGGCTGAGTGGCAGCTTCTGGCAAGGGAGGCCTTGTGTCTGACCAGTGTCATCTGAGCCTCACCCAGATTCTCATCCCTTGAGAATGGCATGCTCTGGTGGGTGGCACTAGGTTTCCAAGACAGGCTTCCTGAGGAGGTAGAGGATTTCTGGTTCTCCCAGAAATCCACCAGAATCTCAGAATCTCAAAGTCTCAGAGTTGAAAGGAACCTGGAAGGACATTTAGTCCAAACTGTACCTGAATGGGAATTCCCATAACACACCTGTCAAGGAAAGGGACAACCCACCGCTTCCAGAGGGAGCCCATTCCACTTTGGAATAGTACTTATTGTTAGGAAAGCTTTCCCGACATCAAACCTAAATCCCACCCCCCACCATCAACCCCCCTATCAGGTGTGGAGTGGGGCCAGATAATGGCAAACACAAGGCCACAGAGAAAAGGGAACAATGAATTGGGATCATTGACTCCAGAGGCCATTTGGTCCAACCCTCTCATTTTGTAGAAGATGAAACTGAGGCCCAGGGAGGACCCAAGGTCATATAGGGAGTACATGATAGATCCAAGACTCTGACCTTTGACTCTAGAGTTCTTTTCTGCCATATCAGGGTAGGGGTGTGGTACAAGGGAATGCCCTTCCTCTGACTCTGGAGTCAGAAGAACTTGGTTTCAATCCTGCTTCAGATGCTTAAATGCATGACCTTAGGTAGGTCACTTAACTTGCCTGGGTCTCAGTTTCCTTTTCTATACAATGAAGAGCTTGGGTTAGGTGGCCCCTGGGGTCCCTTCTGTCTCTAGATCTGTGAGCCTGTGGTCCTATGGCTCTATTGAGTAGAGACAGCATATATAATACAAAGAGCATTGACCCTGGAGTCCAGTTCGAAGACTTGAATTTGAATGCTGCCTTGGACACTCAACACCTGTGACCTTTGGTGAGTCATTTCCCTTCTTTAGGCCTCAGTTTTCTTATTTATAAATAAGGGTATTGGCCCAGACGGCCTCTAAGGGCCCTTCTAGTTCTACATTAGGAATTGCTTGGGAAGACTGGAGGAGCTCTTGTGAGCATGGTCTTGGGTAAATGAAAAAAAAACCAGAACATTATGGGCTATAAGTGATAAAGAAACACCGAGATAGGGTAGGCCAATGAGATAGTAGAGCTGGTTCAGGGTTAAACAAAGAGACGTCTAATCCCAAGGCACGCCAATGCTTAAGGTCAAAGCAAGTACAGAGTCAGTAGCCATCATTTCCGCAGGCCGGTTCAGGGCAGATTTTGACAAGGAGCAGGAGGAAAATGGTACCTGATGGAGGAGTTGGTCAGTAGGGTGTAGGAATAGAAGAAAGGATTGTAAGGAATATCATTGCTTCGAAGATTGAAGAGCCCTGGGGGAGAAATCAAGAGTGGCCTTGTTACAGGGTAAAGGTGCTAGCAATAGTCAGTCCTCAACCTCACTGTTAGCTTTGCTCCCTAAAGATTTATCTCGAATTTCTCCATTCCCCCCTTACCTAAATGCCTGTATTATTTCTCTTTATTAATAACATAAAGTATTATTATTATTATTGGATAGCTAGGTGGCACTGCAGCAGACAGAGTGCAGGGCCTAGAGTCAGGAAGACTTTTCTTCCTGAGTTCAAATCTGGCCTCAGACATCTACTAGCTGTGTGACCCTGGGCAAGTCACTTTGCCTCTGTTTTCCTTAATCTACTGGAGAAAGAAATGGCAAACTATTCTAGTATCCTTGCCAAGGAAACACCATGGACAACATGGTCCATGGGGTCACAAAGAGTCAGACACAACTGAATGACCAAACAACAAGATTTGCAAAGTGCTTTGCATATCTTGTCTCATTTTAACCTAAAAAAGAAAATCTAGACTGAATGACATAGAACAAGTTAGATTGAATATCCTAGAGGAGCTTGGACTAGGTACTATGGGAGGGGGTCCTAGACTGGGTGCTGTAGAGAACAGAAAATTTTAGAGGGGGCCTGGGATGGATGCCTAGACTTTGGAGAATACAGAGAAGCTAGGTTGGACATCAGAGAGGACCAGATTGGATCTTCTAGGGCCCCTAGACTAGGTGTTATAGAATGGGACCAGGGATGTAGAGGGACTAGACTGGGTATCATAAAGTGGGCACAAGTCTTCACCTTATAAAGATTGGGTAATGGAGAGAGGACTTAGATTGGGTGTCACAGATATGTTGGACTAGATGTAGAGAGTGGGTATAGACTAGATGTCATAGAATGGATAACCTCTCTGTGCCTCAGTTTACCACTCTGCAAGATAATGTTATTGGACTTAATGACCTCTGAGGTCCCTTCCAGTTCTAGATCTGGGATCCTTTCTGAGTCTTAGTCTCCTCCTCTGATCTTGAGCAAGTCATTTAACCTTCTTGGGACTCAGTTTCCTCATCTGTAAAATGAAGGGAGACCTAAGAGGCCAAGGTCTCTTCCATCCTCTGTAAAATGTTCTCTTCCATCTTAAAATCTATGATCCTTTGACTAGACTGTGCTAAGGACCAGGACTGGGTGTCATGGTGGCAGGGGAGGGGTCGACTTGGTGTTACAGAGTGGGGCTCAACTGTGTGTTAGTGTAGATTCCCTAGACAGGGAGTCAGAGAAGGGACTCGACTATCAGAGAGGAATAGAGGGGTGCCAGAGGTGGGGTGGCCAGGGTGCTTTAAAGGAAGCTACCTAGTTTTATAGGCAAAATCTTAATTTTACAAACTGCCAGGGTCTGATCCTCATAGCCAGTGTAGAAAATTTTTTCTCCAGTTATCCTGTGACTAAGACAGGAAAAGTGTTCGGCTACAGATTTGAGGGGTGGTCATAGCCATGGCCTAGGAAGTCCTCCTGGTTTCCTTCCTTTCAGGCTTTTTTAGCTCCTCTGTGCTGGGGGACTTCCTGAGAGAATGGCTTCATGGTGCCATGGTCCCCTTCCCCTTCCTATTCATTCCATCCATGATGACATAGCTGGAATCCTTTGGCATTTGGAGAGAAGCTGTAGGTCTGTGTGAGTGGGAGGGAAGGATATTTTAGGGAGAAGTCTGAGTGGCCTAAGTGGTAAATGGATTTTGGAGAGGGGAATGGGGTAGAGTTATAACTAGGATAGGGCAACTGGGCCGTTGCTCCAGTGCACGGGATTTAGAGGGCACTGACCTCACTTGTAGTCTTTTGGTGTGCTGGGGGTGAGTTTCTCCCTTCCTGGAACTTCTCCCCTCACCCCCACCCCACCACACACCACCCTAAAAGCAGCTGCCCCAGTAGTAGCCTCCTGACTATGTCTTTGTCTCTGCCTGCTATGACACCATTTCCTTTTCCCCTTCCTCAACACAGGGTGCTTGTCAAGCCACTTGTCCTGGGTGCAATGCCTCCCCCCCCCCCCCCCCCCCCCGCCAAGTGTTAGCAACTATACTTACAAGCTGTCTCATCCAGCGCAGACAGAAGGACAGCTGTGGGGGCGTTAGAATGCGTTTGCATCTGGTTTCGGATTTCTGTGACTTTTTCCTGCCATGTGCTCCCTGGAATCAGAGAGGACCAAAGAATGCATAAGGGCCCGCTGACCTGCACCCAGCTCACCTGATTAAGCCTCCAGTACACTAGGTAGATTCTCTATGGAAGATTCATGGACAAGAATCACATAGGATTTAGGCATGGATGAGCAGTGATCTGTGGATCATGGAGGGAGTACCCCCATTGAAGAGATTACTGATCCACTGAAATACTGAAGTATAAGCATAGGGCTGGTGATGTCACTCCTCTACTCAATAATCCTCAGTGGCTCACTATTATCTTCTGAGCAAAGTTCAAATTCCTTTGCCCGGCCTCCAAGATCTTCCTGAATCTGGCATCAATCTACCTTTCCAGATTTTAATTCCTTCTATGTGATCTACATACCAGTCAAACTGGACTGCTCTCTGCCCTCCAAATATGTCTTGTGATTTCCTGACTTTGGTGATGCTATTCCCTCTTCCTGGTGAATTCCTACCTATCTGTTAAAGCCCAGCCTCAAAGCTATCTTCTCTTTGAAGCCTTCTGGCCCTCCCCCCATTCCCTCCTTCTCCTCTCCATCCCCCACCCTACCCCTGGCCCATCTTTTAGAGAAACTTGGTATCTCCCCAAGCACCAAGTACAAGACTTAAAAAAACCACCTTAATGTTTATTGAATGAATGAATTAATGACCCAATAACAGCTTTGTAAAGCTCCGTATTCATAGGGTCGCCTTTTATGTTGTCAACACTTTGGAGGCCAAATTTTCCCCCTTTAGTAACTGTCCCTGCTATATATGCATGCTGTCACTAGGTGGTAGTGGAGAGTCACAGTCATAGTCTCAAGCATAAAAGTTCCCAGCCTCTGGGAGCTAGAAATGAATGGGGATTTCTATATGCACACGTACACATCCAACATAATTTGCATTTTTGGTCTGGACTTGTGATTTTAAACAGTGTGGGCATCTCCTGGTATGGAAACTCCCTCTACTGATGCAGATCAGAGATTCCCAGGGCCCTGAGAGGTAAAGGGACTTATCCAGGATCACACAGCCAGGATGGGTCAGAGGTAGGACTCAAACCCAGGCCTCCTCGACTCCAAGGGCAGCCTGTTTTTATCTTCTGTGCTGCTGTGGTAGATTTATTCATACACATACACTTGTGGTTTGTGCTGGTGGAAGGAATTCTCCACGCTGATGAAATAAATCACAGTCCTATTCACGTATTCTTGTGTGTCTACATTTGGTTTGCACCTGTGAGCTCAGCATGCAGGGAGCTCCCTTGTGAGAGAACCCTCTACCAAGGCAGGTTAGCACCTTGCAGGGGATAAAGAGCTGGCCTGGAGGAAGGAGGACCTGGGTTCAAATCCTGCCTTTAACCCTTCCTGGCTGTGTGACCTGGGACAAGTCACTCACTCTCTCAGTGTCCCAGATAATTCTCCAAGAGATATACACCTATGTGATATATATATTCCATATTAAAACTATTCAAGAGATACCCATTCAGTGAGACCTACACTTAAAGGTAAAACAGAGAAACGTTTAGAGAAAATGAATGCAACAAAATGAATGGCTTACTATAGCACCTGGCACATTGTAAGCTTTTAATAAATGCTCACTTTACCTGTTGTCTGTCTGTCTGTCTGTCTATTCTTTCTATCTATTCTGTCTATCTATCTAGCTTTCTATTCTATTTATTGTTTAGTTATCTATTCTATCTAGCTTTCTATTCTCTCTATTCTATTTATTTATCTGTCTATTCTATCTCGCTTTCTATTCTGTCTGTCTATTCTGTCTATCTATTCTATTTATTTATCTATTCTATCTAGCTTTCTATTCTGTCTGCCTGTTTGTCTGTCTGTCTGTCTAGCTATGGATCTAGATGGTGGTCACCTTCCCTACATGCAACTTGACTTTCTTTTAACCCTGAAAATGATTGGCCTCCTCCTGACTTTAGTTCATGTCTGAGTTAGCTCCATCACAGAGCCCGACGTTGGCCTCTCTACCCTGGGTTTCCTTCTCCAGAGAGCTCTTCCTCCCGCCAGCCCAGAGGCACCCAGCTTTATAGCCTTCTCCTCTTTGCAGTGGGCATGCAAGCCATTTGGTATTGGTTTCCCTCTAGGAGAGAGATGAAGGAAGCCCCTGCCCCGCTAACTTCAGATTCCACAGAGATTGGGGTTATCTTCCACTTTATCAGCTCCTCCCTGGCAGGTTTTCTGTAGAAAACTATTTTAAGATACAGAAAGAAGAATTTTTCAAGTTGCAGAATCCAATTTATAACAGATCAAAAGCTGGAAGGTGTGAACTTGTTACATCACACCTGGGATTTTGAAATCTGTCCCCCACCCCCTTCTTTGACTCTCACCCACTCAGGAGACTTGTGATATTCCTCACATCCAAGTAGGCCCAGGATTAACCAAGGAGTCTGCTGGGATGGCACTCCCTGGGTGAGTCAGTTAGAGCCCCAGTGCAGGCTGGGACACAGTCATTTATAACTGGGAGCCTGGCCCTATTCCTGCTTAATGTCATCACTCAGGGGAGTTAAAGGGCACGACGTGTTAAAATTATTCCCATGGGGCTGTTTCCCAGCCACAAGCTGGGCCCTAGATGGAGCCGTGATCCTGGTCACCCTAAGGCCAGGCTGAGACTCTACCAGTCACCTAGGAAAGGCTGGGGGATTTGGGTAATTCAGTGCAAGCCTGTCTCTGTGGCTAGGAAAATAACTCAGAATAAGTGCTCATGGTGGCCAAATAGGAACACTGCTCTTTATATCTTTGTGTATGATGTGAGAAAACTGTGTTACAGGTTTTCTCTCTTAACAAGGATGACATTGGTAGCAGGGTTGTCCTTGCTGTAATGGGCATGTTCCCATCAGATGCAATACAGGCTGAAAGGAGCTGGCTCTGTCCCTTCCCATCTCCCCACAGGGGCTCCTGGTTCAAACGGCCTTCTGCATGAGGCCACGGAGATTAGAGAGGTAGAAGAGAGATATCAGGAGAGGACAATTGGCTGCAGAGAAATGGAGCACTAATGGGACAGAGGCTGGCATAAGTGGGACTGCAGCAGTGAAGCCAAACTGAGGGGAGAGAGAGAGAAAGACAAATAATGAAAAGTTTAAGCCACATGGACCTAGGGCTGGAGGAAGTCTCATAACAGGGGATGCTAGTGCTGGCATAGAAGCCAGCCTCAACCTCTCCCTACACTGGTACCCTGTTCAGAGAAGTTCTGTGAGTCATAGAGACTGTGTAGGACCCTGAAAAGGGAAGAACCACTAGAAACAAAGAAGTGACTCTCTTGACTCTCTCCGGACTCAGGTATTAGTCAATTCTATGTTCTTTATTATGCAACTAAAAAGTTTTAAATTTGGTGTCTTGTTAGCCTGAGTGCTTGTAAGGGAGCTCTTTGAGGGAAAGGCCACCTCACTCACCTTTAGGGTACCACTGGGGTAAGGGCAAAGTGAGTCAGATCATATCACTCCCAGGGTTCACCTGGGTAGGGTCAGATAAGCCAGAGAGAAATGAGAAATCCTCAAGATGACCCATGCCCTTTAGGGCTGAGAGAGAAGGAACCTCTGACACAAGGATTAACCTCAATTCAATAAGCATTCAAGGGCTTACTCTGTGTAACTTCTGCTCTCTCTGCGATATTTCCTCCCTTATTCTCATGATTTTATGCCTTTTATTGGAAAACTCCCAGCTAAAGGACCAAGCAAATATAGTTTGTATTATACGAGGGACTAAGATACCTGTGAAGTTCTCCTGGAGGTAGTAAATTGGTTGACTGGGAAGGGAAGGCCTCTCTGTCCCCCAAACCTGGTCCACAAGGTTGTCTGTAATGGCTACTAGGCTTCTGTTGGAACCTTGAAGGTGAAGATCGAGACTCTTCCATGTGTCTGAGGAGAGAAAGGAGGAAGTTATATCCTACCTGGTGCCCTTCCTTCTACTCCCTTCCCTGCCCAGGCTCCCTTATACCTAGGACTAGTCTCAGGGAAAAGAACAAAGCTAGTGAAGAACAATAGAATCGTACCCTTTACGTTAGCTTTATAGGTTAGAAAACACGTTGCCATCCATCATCCAGTGGGATCCTCTAGCAACCCCAAGAATCAGGACATTGGGCGTTATAATAGTATATCTACTTTACAGATGAGGAAATTGAGGCTCATAGAGGGAATGGGACTGATCCAATGTGAAAGGCCAAAGACAGTATCAGGACTCAGACCCAGAGGTTCCCAGAGGAATGACATTCTACCTTCCCCCCTTAACCCCCAATTTATCTATCTTGTAAATCTCCATGAGAAACAAGGGGCTAATGGCAGAGACAGAGACTACCCATGGTGGATGGCAGAAGAGGGACCAGGAGATGGGCATAATAAAAAGAATGCTAGATTTGGAGTCAGGACCAAGATCCAAATTCTATCTTCTAACGCATTCCCTCTTATGACCTTGGACAAGTCACTTCTCTCTGGATCTCCTTCTTTGTTACAACTTAGGTACGGTAGTGTCTAAGTACTAAGTAAGTAAGGATACACAGTAAGTATCCTTACTATGTTCAGGTATAGTGCTAAGTGCTGAGGTTAAAATACAAACAAGCAAGATAAGGCTACCCTCTGCTCCTCCTCAAGAAGCTTACATTCTAATGGATTGAAGGCAATAAAGTACATAAAAGCTGTGAGTGTGTGTGTGTGTGGGGGGTAGAGATGGTAAAAGAGGCTCTAAACAATTTTCCAAGTAAAAGGCCACACACCATTCAGCTATTTCACTGGCCACATAGGCTTATTCTAAGTTGGGGGCTCTTAAGCTAGGGTCTGTGGACTTTAAGAAAAAAAAATTCATTCTAACTGTATTTTACTACAATTGGTTAACTTTGTAATCTTATGTATTCTATATGCTTAAAAACCCCTACTGAGAAGGGGTCCATAGGGTTCCCCAGATTGCTAAAGGGGTCAAAAAATTACCAGGTCTCTCAAATTCCCCCACAAACAATTTAAAAGTGTTTTAAAAGTGAACTTCAGTGCGGCATAAATAACGAAAAGTCGGGGATAAAGCAGTTGCCCGCAACTTGGGAGGATGTTAGGAAAGACCTGACCTCCCAGTTGGTGATTTGGCTTGAGTGAAGTACAGATATCAAATCAACAAACAACGAGCCCTGGAGGCAGCTGTGTGGGTGCCCCATGGACAGTGTGGGGGGTTGGGCAGCTGATCAGGGGAAGACTGTGGGGGCCCTCCACTGGCACTGGACAAGGGGCCCAGGCCGCTGAGCAGAAGTGATCCCAGGCTGTGGCAGCGACCAGGAGGAGTGGGCATGCGCCATGAGTGCAATTACTGAGGGCGGGGCCCTGATGGCCCTGGTCATTCCCAGAAGAGCATAGTCCCGTGGTTTCAGTTCCGGGTCAGAGGGACCATAGGGAATTAAGAGCCTTTGAGGTGGCAGCAGTGCTGGGGGCCTTGGTAGAGGCTCAAGGGCAGAGAGGAGTGCCCAAGGTCATTCCAAGGGATAGAGCTTCAGAAAAACCTGAAGCCTGAGACATTATCCCCCACACCCCCGAAGCAGAGCTGGACTCTAACATAAGGTTAACAGCTAATAAATAAGCCACTAAAAAAAAATTAGTAAGCAAAAGAGAAAGAACCCAACTATACATGGCTACTATGGTGATAGAGAAGATCTGGGTTCAAATTCAGGAGAAGATAGCGAAGTCAAAACAGCCACTTCTACTTCAAACAAAAATGTCAAATGATCACAAGCCCAAAAAGAGCTCTTGGAAGAGTTTTAAAAAGGGCTTTAAAAATCAAATAAGAGAGGTTAAGGAAAAATTAGGGAAAAAATAAGAGTAATGCAAGAAAATTAAGAAAATTATGAAAAGAAAGTCAACCAACTGGAAAAAGAGATCCAAAAACTTACAAAAGAAAATAATTCCTTAAAAAATAGAATTGGGTAATGGGAAACTAATGACTTCATAAGACACCAAAAAATAATAAAACAAAATCAAAAGAATGAAAAAAATGGAAAAGAATGTGAAACATCTTATTAGAAAGACAACTGACCTGGAAAACAGATTGAGGAGAGACAATATAAGAATTGCTGGACTACCTGAAAGTTATGATCAAAAAAAGAGTCTAGATACTATACTTCAAGAAATTATTAGAGAAAATTGCCCTGAAATTTTAGAACTAGAGGATAAAATAGAAATTGAGAAAATCCACCAATTACTACCTGAAAGAGATCTCGAGATGAAAACTCACAGGAACATTATAGCTAAGTTTCAAAGCTCCTAGGTAAAGGAGAAAATACTACAAGCAACTAGCAAGAAACAATTTAAATACTGTGGAGCTGCAGTCAAGATAACATAAGCTTTAGCAGCTTCTCCCTTAAAAGACTGAAGGGCATGGAATATGATATTCCAAAGAGTAAAGGAGCTGGGTTTGCAACCAAGAATAACTTGCCCAGCAAATCTGAGTGTAATCTTGCATGGAAAAAAATTCATATTTAATGAATTAAAGAACTTTCAGGTATTTGTGAGGAAAAGAACTGAACTGAATGGAAAATTTGACCTACAAGAATCAGGAGAAACATAAGAAGGTAAATATGAAACACCAATTATAAGGGATTTAATAAGGTCAAACTTTATTTCTTATATGGGAAAACTAATTTATTATTAACAAAAATCATATGATTATAACAATAGATGCAGAAAAAGCTTTTGAAAAAATACAACACTCATTCCTATTAAAACCACTTGAAAGCATAGGTATAAAGGGATTTTTCCTTAAAATGATAAGAAGCATAGACCTAAAACCATCAGCAAGCATTATTTATAATGGGGATAAGCTAGAAGCCTTCCCAATAAGATCAGGAGTGAAACAAGGATGCCTGTTATCAACGATATTATTCAATATTGTATTAGAAGTACTAGCAATAGCAATTAGAGGAGAAAAAGAAATTGAAGCAATCAGAATGGGCAATGAGGCGATAAAACTTTCTCTTTTTGCAGACAATATGATGGTATACTTGGAAAATCCTAGAGATTCAACTACAAAGATAGTAGAAACAATAATTTTAGCAAAGTATCAGGATATAAAATAAACCCACATAAATCAGCAGCATTTCTATATATCACCAATATAACCCTGCAAAAAGCGATAGTAAGAGATAGCCCATTTAAATAACCACAGACAGAGTAAAATACCTGAGAGTATACCAGCCAAAACAAAGCCAGTAACTATATGAACATAATTATAAAACACTTTTTATACAAATAAAGTCAGCTTTAAATAATTGGAGAAACAATAATTGCTTATGGGTGACAGAGCCAACATAATAAAAATGACAATTCTACATAAACTAATCTACTTATTCTCTTCCATCCCAATTACCAAAAAATCATTTTATTGGGCTAGAAAAAAAAATAACAAAATTTATTTGGAAGAACAAAAGGTCACAAATATCAAAGGAATTAATAAAACAATGTAAAGGAAGGAGGCTTAGTAGTACCAGATCTTAAACTATAAGGCAGTAATTATCAAAATTATCTGGTACTGGCTAAGAAAAGCAAGGTGGATCAATGGAACAGAATAGACATACAATACACAGTACTAAATTATTATAGTAACCTTGTATTTGACAAATATAAAGCTTTTGGGATAAGAATTCACTATTTGGTAAAAATTATTGGGAAAACTGGAAAGCCGTCTGGCAGAAGTTGGGCATAGAGCAGTATCTTATTTCATTTACCAAGATAAGGTCAGAATGGATATATGACCTAGATATAAAGGGAGATATCATAAGTAAATTAGAAGAACATGCAACATACCAGACTTATGGGTAGGAGAAGAATTTATGAATAAACGAGATAGAAAGAATTATGAGGTGTAAAGTGGACAATTTTAATTACATTAAATTAAAAAGGGTTTGTACAAATAAAACCAGTATAACTAAGATTAAAAGGAAAGCAGAAAATTGTGGAAAAAATTTATAGACAGTTTCTCAGATGAAGGTCCTGTATCTCAAATATATAGAGAACTTTTTCAAATTTGTAAGAATATGAGTCATTCCCCAATTGATAAATGGTCAAAGGATGTGAACAGGCAGTTTTTGGGAAAATAAATTAAAGCTATATATCGTCATATGAAAAAATTCTCTAAATCATTATTAATTAGAGAAATGCAAATTAAAACAACTTTGAGATATCTCACACTTATCAGATTGGCTAAAATGATAGAAGGGGAAAATGAGAAATGTTAGAGGGGATGTGGACAAATTGGGACACTAAAACACAGTTAGTGAAACTGTGAACTGATCCAACCATTTTGGAGAGCAAGCTGGAATTATTCCCAAAGAGTCATAAAACTGTGTATATACTCTTTGACCCAGCAATACCATTTTTAGGTCTGTTTTCCAAGGTGATTGGGGAAAAGGGAATAGAACCTATGTGTTCCACAATATTTATAACGACTCTCCTTGTGGTGGCAAAGTGTGACGTTTAAAAAGTTCGAGAAACATAGTATCTGGGTAATTTAATTATTTTATTAATAGGGCTAGTGTGTTTATTAATAAAAAGAAATCAGTGACACTCTCGAATGCCAAAGACCTTTCATGGTGGTGGGCTCACAGTTTATATGCCTTTGGAGGAGCAAGTGTTCCTGAGGGTGTCAATCAAGTCTGATTGGTTAACTATGAGAGAATGAATATTATAATAAGAGGTGGGCTCTATTACTATGAGGGGCTTGGGGATGCGTGACTTGGATCAACCAAGTCTTGGTCAAAGAGACTTATCAATTTCCATATCACCTGTCTGACAGAAAGGAGAGTCAATGCTTTTCCAGGCTTGTCTGAGTGGACATAATGAGCAAGAATCCTCCCATTAGCCCAAACTTAGAATTTCTTTTACTGTCTGATTAGATCTTGGCCTGGGTAAATCTTTGAGAAAAATTTCCCACACTGGTTGATTTCTGGATAAGGAAGTAGAAAAGGGGAAAAACCTTGGTTCTGATTCAATAATTAGTTATTAATACAAGAGAGAAATAATCATTTCTCTCAAAAGAACTGGAAATTGAAGGAATGCCCAACAATTGGAAAATAGCTAAACAAGTTGTGGTCTATGATTGTGATGGAATAGTATTGTGCTGTAAGACATGATAAGCTGGTTGATTTTAGAAAAACACAGAAATACTGAAAAGTGAAATGAGCAGAACCAAAGACCTTGTATACAGTAACAGCAACATTGTTCAAAGAGTAACTGTGAATGACCAAGTTATTCTGAGTTTGGTAAACACTCAAATCAACTACAAAGGACCTATGAAGGAAGATGCTATCCACCTCCAGAGAAAGAACTGATAAATAGAAGTATGCATAATGTGGGTTTTTGAACATATATGCATTCATCTTTATCTGTGTCAAATTGTGGCTTTCTCTAGTGTGGGGTGAGGAAGGAGGGAGACAGTTTGGAACTTAAAATGTAACAAAAAATTAATTTAAAAAATAGAAAGACTTAAAAAAGAAAAAATAAAGGGGTCCAGGACACAATAATATGTTAAGAAGCCCCAGTATATGGTCATCCTGTATCCTCTGTGACTCTGCAGTTAAAACAACCTGGATGGGGGGCAGGAATCTCACCCCTCACCATAGGGGCTTTCATTCCCACAGTCCCTCAAATTTATATACAATGACTTGGGTGGCCCTGAACCACTAGGTTGGGGGAGGGACCGAGCACATTCAGTTGAAGCTTTTAGGGATGTTCTCAAATTTGGCAGGGTGGAAATAGCCTTAGTACTTTGTATCTTAGTAGTTTAGGTTTTCAACACAAACTTACCTATTTGGCCGACAGAGACTGGCCATCAATCACTTTAGCCATCCTGCCTTTTAAAAGCCACATCCAAAGCTCCTTACAGGAAACAGTCTCATTATCCTCTGCCTGAACAACATAGCAGTGGGCATCGTGCCTCCTCACATTATCCACAGAGTACTGTTTTGTCTAGACATGTTGGGGCTACCACAGTCTTCTGCTCAAACTAAAACTAACTGTACTCTCTTTACGGTGGTCCCTGTAGTAAAGACTCGATGCCGTTCAGGTAAGAATCTGTCCGGGAATTAGGATCTAACTGCATTCTAAGCAGATTGGTCATAACGAGTGATGAGTTTTGGAAAGGGGGCTTACATCCAACCCACCAAACCCATCTCTTTAAAAAAATAGAAAGAAAGAAAACTTCACCCCCTCCTTTGCTGTCCTCTATCTGAGAACTGTCTGTAAGGGGAATTTATTATTTTTTTTCTTCTTTTTTTCCTTTTGGCTAGGCAATGGGGTTAAGTGACTTGCCCAGGGTCACACAGCTAGTAAGTGTTATGTGTCTGAGGCCGGGTTTGAACTCAGGTCCTCCTGAATCCAGGGCCAGTGCTCTATCCACTGTACCACCTAGCTGCCCCTGTAAAGGGAATTTAGATAAATTTATCGAGCTAAATATGCAGACCTTCCCAGTTTATTTGCCTAAAAAGAGATAAAGGGCAGTCCCTATATGGGGTCTCCAGTTGACTCAAATGATTTTCTAAGAGCAAATCACCTGGAAACTCTCCTATTTGAGTGGGTTCAGCATCTGACAAATTGTCTAAACACACCAATGCTGGAAACTGAGGATTCAAAATTGGGAAGGTAACAAGGGCCTGGGATCCACTTCAGGGATCTGGGTCCAGTGCTTCAACTGGCCATCTTTGCATGGTCCTCCCCTTCCTATCCTTTAGCTGGTGCAGAATTCTGAGTTAGCCCATCCCCAGTGTCTGTGACTGGCTTCATATGCTCTAGTTGGTGAGTGCCACCTACTTGAAAGGCAACATGGTGTGTAGGAGACAGAGCCTGGAGTCAGGAAGAACTGAATTCCAATCCTTCTTAGGACACTTGGTAGCTGTGTGGAAGAACTGGGTTTGAATCCTGCCTCTGACACTTACTAGCTGTGTAACCATGGGCCTGTTGTTTAACCTCTCTGAGGTTCTGTTTCTTCATAATAATAGGTAATATTTATATTGTACTTACTATGTGCCAGGCACTGCGCTAAGTGGTTTACAATTATTTTTCATCTGTAGAATGGGAATAATAACAGCACCTACCTCACAGGGATGTTGTGAGGCTCTTAATGAGACAATAGATGTAAAATACTTTGGTTTCCTGGGGCTTGATGCAATCAGCACAGTGCAAGCAAGCATTTATAAAGCACCTACTAAGTGTCAGGCACTGTGCTACATGGTGGGGATGTAAAGACAAAAATGAAAACTCAGTCTTTGCCCTCAATGAGTTTATAGCCTAATTGCATTCATAAGTATACACAATATAGCTACATAGAAGGAGGAAAGTGGGCGCTAGCCCCAGAGGATCTCCCATCTGCGGAATAGTGACTTGGATGGTCCATAGCAGTGCTAAAGAACCCTGGGAGCATGTGTCTTCCTGGTTCTTACTTTACCTGCTATTAAGGATTGGAAGGTTCCCTTGCATGATTTTGACATGTGCAGGGGAGTTAGCTTGGTAGAAGCCTGTAAGGTGCCATTTGGTTCTACTAGAACAAATATGTTTTGTTTTGTTGTTTGGGTTTTTTCAGTAGTCAACACACAACAAGCACCAGAGGACCTGGTATTCTCCATATTTTTTCTGGCATGAGTGCTATGATAAACACATGTTACTCAAGGATTTGACAGCTTAGAAGCCCCCAACATCATACCCACTTTCTGGGCTGGAAGCCAGATCACCCTAGATGTTCCCTGTCATTGCTAATCACGGTACTGTATCTTGGAATGCCCCCTGCCTCCATCACTGCCCAGATCAAAGCTAAGTACGTACCAATGGAGAAGAGGAAGGGGTCAAAGCCAATTTGACCTCCAGCTGGAATCTCTGCCAGGATCCATGTTGCCATAGGCAAAGTGCCAACTGCCAAACCCAATGGGAAACACCCTTTATATAAGTGTGATCACTTTGCAAGCCACCCATCCCCATCCCTCCTGGGCCCTGAGGTCTTTCCAGCCCAGGATTCTGTTATTCAACAAGCTGTCCCTTAAGTGCCTACTATGTTCTAAGCTCTTGGCAGGTGTTGGGTCTGAGAAGACAAAGTGAGGCAGTCTATGCCCTCAAGGAATTTATATTCTACTGGCATTGTGAGAGAGTTAGGAGTGTTAGTTTTCTTGGAGCCTCTAGAGGGAAATAACCCTCTAGAGCCCTGGCAGCCAAGGGTTTAGAACTCCCCTGAATCTCTGCATACCAATGCTGGGATACCCAGTAAGAAGGGGCAGGTGTTAGGGCAGCTAGGTGGCACAGTAGAAAGAACACTGGCCCTGAAGTCAGGAGGACCTGAGTTCAAATCCGGCCTCAGTCCAAACACTTAACATTTACTAGCTGTGTGACCCTGGGCAAGTCACTTAACCCCAACTGCCTTAAAAAAAAAAAAGAAGGGGCCAGTGGATGCTTTTCTTTGGGTATATCAGGCCATCCAGTGTTTGGTTTGAAAATATCCTCTTCTTGGGGCCCTACGGGGCCCTAGGGGTTTTGCTGTACCCAGAGGAGAGGGAACCTAAGCCCTACTGCCTCCCTCCCTCCATACCTTCCTTATGCAGCTCCCAGTTACAATCCATTTGCCGTTCAGCCTGAATCCAGTAACGGCTGTCAGTCCACAGAGCTGCCTTCATCTTGGACACCACTGCATTTCCTGGAACAGAAGGAAGGCAAGAATCATATCTTTAGAGCTGAAAGGCTCCTCAAAGGCCATTGAGTCCAAGCCACTTATTTTATAGATGGGGAAACTGATTCCCAGGGAGGGGAAGAGACTGGTCCAAGGTCACACAAATAGGAGCCTAGATCTAGAGGTGGAAGGAACTTCAGAGACCAACTGGTCCAACCCTCTCATTTTTCAGATGAAGAAACTGAGGCTCAAGGAGATATAGTGACTTGTCCAAGGTGATACAATCAGTAAGTAGCAGGTCCAGGACCTTGGACTCCAAATTTTATGCTCTTTCTGCTGTACCAGGGTGTTTCGCCAAATGACAACTCAGGGTCTTGACAGAAGGCCTCTCTTCTTACTTTGTGGGTAGTCAGCTGGGAGTGCCAACCCTTTTCCCAACCCATGGTGGTCTCTTTCTGAGTACTCATTGCCCTACCTGGTTTTAACTGCTTTTCTGTCTGTGTCTTTCCCTTTTCCTAATCTGTGAGCACCATGAGAGTAGGCAACAGGCCTTGCTCATTTCTGTGGAGTCCACAGTACCCAGCACAAAATACAATTCAGTCCACTAAACACATCAATTCATTATCTACTGTGCGTAGGATCCTGTGGTCAACAGAGCTCATATCAGAAGTCTTTCACCAGGGACCAAAAGAGTGGGGGAGGGGAGAGGGAAGTGAGGACATGACAGAGCAGTGGACAGTTTAGTCATGGGTCAGGAGAGGCAGGGCCTATGAGAGGGAAGGGTAGCCCAGAGCCTGGCAAGGGAGTCGGGGTTATGCAACACAGAGCAAGGCCAAAGAGGACCATGAGTTGTAGGGAGGAATTGCAGAACCTGCTCCCCTCCCCCACTCCAGTTCCCATGTCTAACCTCTGGGAAATTCCCCAGTTATCCTGTCCTAGTTATGGATCTGGTGGCCTAAGTTAGACCTCAAGAGTTTTGGATTTCCTCAATCAGTACGTGCCAAGTGAATGAAGTGTATGTAGCTTTAATGCATGTTTAAAATAGCATTTACTAATTTTTACTTACAACTTCACTAATGTGAAAATATGTTTAGTGGGTATGTAAATGTAAAGCCTATATCAGATTGTGCATGTCTTGGGGGGGGGAGGAAGGGGGAGAAAAATTTTCAACTTAAAAGCATATGGAAGTGATTGTTGATAAATCAAAATAAATTTTAAAAATTAAAAAAAATAAATAAAATAGCATTTACTATGAAATATTCAGAGCTGCATTCCTTATAGGAGGCAGAGCGTACAGTGGAAAGCATGTGAACTCTAAAGGCAGGCAGAGAACCTGGGTTTGAATCCCATCTCTGACATTATCTGTATGACCCTGGGCAAGGCCAAGCCAGGGGCATCAGAGGCCTGAATGCCTGGACACTGGCCCAGGGCAGGTGGCCCTCTGGCCAGAAGGATGTTGGGAGAGGTGAGGAAAAAGGCCATCACCTGCAGAACCACTGAAGCCAGAGATCCACCGGCGTCTCTCATCGTGTTCAGCAATGTATTCACTCTGAAAAATCAACAGGACACCTTCATGAACTTTCTGCATCCTTTGCCCACAACGGCCTAGGATGCCCTCCCTTCTTCTCTCCCCAAATCTGGCCTTCCATCACAGCCTGGTTGCAGTTTGGCCTCCTCCACGAAGTCTTCTTTGGTGTGGTGCTGTAGAAAGAATGTTGGACTAGTACCAGAAGATCTGGGTTCAAGTCTTGGCTCTGATACTTTTTAGCTGGGTAGCCCTGGGTAGGGTAGTTCATCTCTCTGAGCCTCCACTTCCACATCTATAAAATGGGTCTACTAATCCTTGCACTACCCACTTCCAAGGGTGGCCAAGAGATAAGCCTCCTGTAAGCCTTAAAGGGCTCTGGAAATGAGAGCTGTTATAACTGTTGCCGCCCTCATAAACTGCTCCTTCCCTTAGCTCTTACACTATAAAGTAAATCTCTTCTCTTGCTCCTTACAAAGTATCCTGTAGCTAGGAACTGTGTCTCTGCTAACCCTTGTATCCACTCAATGCATAGTACAGAAAGGCTGGGTCGACATCAGACCTTGATGTGGATTTGACTTTTGAATGAGTCTTTCAGGGAGCACTTTCAGGCCTTCACACTGGCTGCCCCCAGGTCCCTGGAACACTCTAAAAATTACCTGGTTTCCTTCAAATTTCACCTCTAATTAATCCCACCTTTTCCAGGAGGCTGTTCCTGGTCCCCCCCCCATACCTGTCTGACCTTTCTATACATCTTGGGTATGCCTGTTGATGGGCATGTCATCTCCTCCATTGGAATGAAAGCTTCTTGAGGTCAGGGACTGTTTTCTACTTTTCTGTGCATCCCCAGTGCCCAGCACAGTGTTTAGCACACAGTAAGCGCTTAATAAATGCTTGTTGATCAACCTAGAGCAGAGACTACTCTGACCCACCTTCCTGAATCCCCCATTTGTCCCCAATTTCCCTGTGTCTACTTGACCTGCCTAGCAGTCTGGCAGATAAAGTCACCATCCTCAGCATCATTACCTACAAGCACTTATTATATGCCAGGTACTCTGCTAAGCACTGGAAACGCAAAGGAAGGCAAAAACCACAACGTGTGACCTCAAGGAGATCCTATCTAATAGGAGAGATCACAGCAGCATCTATGTACATACAATCTATAAATGGAAGGTAATCTCAGGGAGGACAGCCTAGCATTGAGAGGGACTGGGAAAGGCTTCTTACAGAAGCTGAGACTAGAAGGAAGCCAGGGAAGCCAAAACCTGGAAATGAGGAGAAAGAACTTTGCAGGCATGAGGGACAGCCAGGACAAAGGCAGGAGGCCAGTGTAGCTGGCTCATAGAGTACGTGTCAAAAGACTGAAAATGAAGGAAGGGGCCGGGTTACAAAGGGATTTGAAGGCCAAATAGAGGATTTTATATTCGATCCTGGAGGTAATAGGGAGCCATGAAAGCCTAGTAAGTAGGGAGGTGACAGGTTCACCTAAGTTTTAGGAAGATGACTTGAAGACCCAGAAAAGAACATTTTTTATGGCCGAAGGTGTTGGCTGTGTCAAATGGTTCAACGTTGGAAATGGCTAAGATTTTGTTGGTGGAAATGCAATTAAAGCAGAGGCCCTGTCATCTGCTTTGCTGCTGCACCCTAAAGATCAGGGGACCTTTCCTTCTCTCTTGCAGCTGAAACCTTCTACAGGGGTGGTCTCATTAGAGTGTGGGCCTTTTGAGAACAGGCACTGTCTCACTTTTTTATTTGTACCTCTAGGAATTAGCACAGTGCTTTGCACATAGGAAGTACTTAATGAATGCTTGATTCATTCATTCATTTATTCATTCATTCATGAAGTTCTTCACATTTCCTCCTTGGGGTTTGCTGAACAAACTTGTGCCTCCCTTCCTGCTTTCCGTGATGTGAGATACCCTCTCACCCTCTTTCATTTCCAGCTTGAGTCTTCTCTTGGTGACTAACATTGGACTGGGCGGGGGGGTCGGGGGCGGGGTGGGGGGGGATGGCCACTCACCATGTGGGCGTCAGTGTCAGGAATGATGTAGGCATCAAGACCTTTAGTCTCCATGTGCTGTCGGAAGTCCTTGAGCCGGACAGTGGTGTTGACAGCTGTGACTGGAAGAAACTGACATGGCCCCCCGAGGTCCCAGGGAGATAGATGGAAACACAATGGTTTAAGTGGGGTGGACCCTGGACCCTTGGCCCTTCTGGCCCTAATATGGATCTGCGTGCCTCTGACTTCAGACCCTGATGGGCTTGGCTACAGAAAAAGGCCAGGGGAAGCCCTGAGTATATCCTAATCCTCCCTGACCTCTGTGAAGCCTTGATAATGTTGGCTACCCTCTCCTCCTGAATCCTCCCTCCCCACTGGCCTCTCCACCTATCTGCCTGGCCACTCCGTCTCAGTCTCCTTCACTGCTTTATTATCTATGTCATGCCTCCTAATCATAGTCATCTCCTAGGTCTCTATCCCAGGTTATCCATGGAAAGAAAAAAGCTCACACATATGCTTTTAGGGGTGGAGGAGGTGGGAGGAGAAAGCAGTCTGAACATCTGGTCACTGCCCCCTGGCCTGGATGCCTGGGTTGGCTTGGGAAAGACTCCATTAATTTTCCAATTTCCATAACTAGATGCTCAACACCCCTCCCCTCCCTTACTAGTCCCAATCCCCTAGGCAACTGATGATATTCAAATAAATGGAGTGTTTATCAAATGCCTGCTATATGCAAGTTGCTGCTGGCACTTAGAAACAATGGGGGGGGGAAGGTGGGGGCCGGACATCTCAAGCCGCAATCCCTTCTGCAAGTCCAGCCCAATCTGGCAGCCATGGAACGCTTGGTGGTATTTGCAGGCACTGATGGCTTCTCTCCTCTATGCTTCCTCCACCCATTTTCATCTCTCTCCTTTCAACTCTATGCCTCCCTTCACCTTTCTCCCTCCTTCCATCCTTCCCCATTCTTCTCCTCTCCCAGTCTCCTTCTCTCTTTTTTTCCTTCCCTCCTGTCCTTTGTCTCTTCCTCACCCTTTGCCATCTCTCTCCTTCTCTCTCCCGCTCCCTCCTTTCTCCTCTTTTCCCCCTTCATCTCCCCCTCTTCCTCTCCTTCCCTTTGTTCCTTTCCCCCTTTCCCTCTCCCTCTTCCTCCTCTTTCTTCTCTTTCTCTGTTTCTCCTTCTCTCTCCCTTTCCCTCCCGCCTCCTATTTTTCTCCCCTCCTCCTTCTTCCTCTCCTTCTCTTTGTCCCTTCCCCCTCCCTCTCCCTCTTCCTCCTCCTTCTTCTTTTCTCTCTCTCCCCCCCTCCCCCCTCCTCCACTCTCCGTTCCCTTTGTTTTTTCTCTTTACTCCTCCCCCCACAGCCTTGCCTCAGTGGCATCCCCCATCCCCACTGGTGCCTCTCGAGGTGGGATATTGATGGAGCCAGAGAGGACTAAGGAGTAATGACTGATTCTCCAGCAGTTAATCAGAAACAGAGCCCCTGAGCCAGGAAACCAGGAGCAAGTCTGGTGGAAAGGGGAGAGTCTGGGAGCTGAGAGAATTGTCTTGGAAAGGGAGGCATTGAGTACAGGGGCCAGCAAAAGCCACGTGGTAAGAGGGGCCCTGCTTTGGGAAGGGGGTCAGCCTCACCGGTGGGGTCACCGAACAGTTTCTCATATCCTCTCCTCCAGATGTTGTTTGCTTTGGGTGGCCTAGAACACAGGCTAGAAAACAGCGAGAGAAACGGTCACTTGCAGTACCTCAGCCTGGTTTTTGTTTTTAAAAAAATTTTTAAATCTGGGAATTGTATAGATTCAATGAGAGCTAGAGTTGGAAGACCAGAGTTCAAATTCTGGTTCTGTGTGACCTTAGGCAAAGTGCATCCTTTCTCTGGGTCTGCTTCCTCTGTAAAAGGAGGAGAGGGGGTTAGATTAGAAGACTCTGCTTCAGATAATCTCTGATTATATGATCTCTTCCAGCCCCAACATCCTATGATTCTCTTCCTCCCACCTTGACCCCTTTGTCTCTTTCACCCTCACTGAGTGGGATTTACCCAAAAGGCAATGAGGGGAGCCTATAATTTTCAGACTCTAGCGATGGGGCTGGACAACCTGCCTGGCTGCCTTGGGGGAGGAAGGGAGGGGGTGTCCCCACTCTGATCAAAGCTCAAGGGGAAGATGAGACTTATAGATGGAGGAGTGGTGGTTTTATCAACCTTTAAACAGAACAAAGGTTTAAAAAATCCCAGCCTAAAGTTTCAAGGGGAGAAAGTACCTTGATAAAATAATAGGGCAAATCACAGAGGCATCTTCCCCTGTTTTTAATATCCCTCAAAGCTCCAAGATTAACTGGGGGTGGGGGTAGGGGGTGGGTAGGGAGAAGAGTCACCCAGACAAGACTGAGCCAATGCCTGGGTGGGGCAGGTTAGCTGTGAATCCCACTTGAGTGGATTCCCCTCTTTGTTGTTCAGTTGTCTGACTCTTCACAACCCCACATGAGGTTTTCTTGGCAAAGATACTGGAGTGGTTTGCCATTTTCTTCTCCAGCCCATTTTATAGATGAGGAAACTGAGGCAAACAGGGTGAAGTGACTTGCCCAGGGTCACACAACTAATAACTGTCTGAGGCCACATTTAGACTCAGATCTTCCTGACTCCAGGCCTGGTGCTGTATCCACTTGCTGCCCCGGATTCTCCTCTACTAGTGAGAGTCACCCAGTTAACACGAACCACCCTCACTCCTTGAAGGTCTCAGCCATGAGCACTTTAGAACAGATTCGTTTATAAGAGAATGTGCTGCCTGTTGCCCAGCACAAAGGAGGGGCATGCTGAGCAGGGGCATAGCCTGTGTAAGTTTGGATGGAGAGCAGAGGACACAGTAGCTCATCTAGAAATATGCCCACTTCTCTAGTGCTTTAGGGCTTGCAAAGCACTTTCCTCACCACTCTGGGTGATAGGCAGTGGGAAGAACCTTCTTTTACTGGTGATGGGCCACCAGCCGTAAATTAGCATTCTAGGAGCCTCTCTGTGAAGCTCCAAAGCTCAGGTGGCCTTTTATAAAGTCATTCAAAGTACTCCATAGATTAAGTAATTTGCCGATAGTCACACATGGACAGGCAGCAGGGAGGCATTCAGCTCCAGATCTGGGTATTGCAGGCCCACAGTACTGGGATGCTGTCTGGGTTGGTTTGAGAGCTCTGGCTATGCGGGCAATCAGGGCAAGGGTGATAATGCTAACAACAATAATAACAGGAACAATAATAAAAACTCACATGTCTCTCACACCTTTCATTTAGAAAGCACTTTTCCTGCAAAACCCCTAGAAGGAAGCTACCATATGTATTAATATTTTCATTTTACAGATGAAGAAACTGAGGCATAAAGAAGTAGAATGTGCTAGAATCATAGATTTCAAGCTAAACAGGACCTTTGACATCATTTAGCCCAACCCTCTCATTTTGTGTGTGTGGTGGGGTTGGGGGAGAACCTCCTAAACCTTAGAGAGAAGCAGTGACTTAGCTAAGGTCACACAGCAAGTAAGTAACTATGCTAGGATTTGAACTCAGTTCTTTTGACTACAAGTCCAGTACTCTTTTCCTTATACTAGGCTATTTTAGGTACTAAATGCCTGTCAGTATGGCTGGCACAGAAAAGAGAAAAGGTTTCTTCATCATTCTGTGTTCTGGACCTCAGTGTCCCCATTTGTAAAATGAGAGCACTAGGTAAGATGCCTTCTAAGGGCCCTTCCAGCTCTAAGACTGCTATGATCATTTTTCTCTGAGGGCCTACCCTGAGGAGCAGTTTTCTTGAGAAAGATGGAGAAGGAGTGGAGAAGGGGGTGGAAATAGGTAGAGAGGGCACCCTTGGGCAAAGTCACCTAAGGGAGTGGAACCATCAGCCACCCAAGTCTAGGCTCCGGCCCCACTCAATCTGCCTGCCCCTGAATGGAAGAAAGAGGAAGTCATCCACATACCACACAGAAGGAAGGCCCAGAGCCCAGCCAGGACCATTGTGCCTCCGTGGCTGTGGCTGCACTATGCCCGGCCACAACCTTTCTCCCTGCAGGGCTTCCTCCGGGCCTCCCCAGGACAGCAGGGCTGGGCTGGGTCTGCTGAAGGGAGTGGGGCCTACACACGGTCCAGCCCCAACGGGAGCCTCTGAATGGCTCCGAGGGCCCTCCTAGATCGCTGGGAGCTTTAAACTGTCTTTGCTGGCCCCACGAAAACAGAGCCAGGGTATACTGGGGCTTGGGGCAAAGTGCAAAGGTCCCCCAGGATGGAGAAGCCACAGCTGTTTTGAATCAGCACCTCCCCCTCAACCCCTTTCTGTTCCAGCTTCCAGTGGGGCAGGGCCCAGGCGTGCTCTGCAAATCAGGCCTTCCCTCTGCCACAAGCTGTTTCCTATCCTGTAGCCCTCACCCCAGAGCTGGCTGTAACTTCACACTGGCCTCCGGATGGACTTGTTTTCTCTTCCCATTGTCCGGCTTGGCTTCTCTCTGACTAACAAAGTCTGGCCTCTCTCCTTCCTGGGGGCCTGGGAAACCACATTAGACCCCTTTGGAAACCTCCCCATCACTTGGAAGTTGGCAATTTCTGTTGAAGAACACAAAGCACATTCCATTTGGAATCAGAGGACCTGGCTTTAAATCCCTGGATCAATTTTTTCCCTTTTCTGGGACTCAGTTTCTTCCTCTGTAAAATGAGGGGTTTGAAACAAATGGTGCTTAGGGTCCCTTCAGACTCTAAATCCTATGAGCCTGTCAGATTTCCTCCAAGCCCTCTCCGCCTCTACTTTTCAGGGGGTTGGTGACTGAAATCCCCCCATTAGAGCTTAATTAAGGTTTAAGATCCTTTTAACTCCCCTGGAAGGGTTGATGATATAATAACAGGTCCCATTCATATTGTAGAAGGTAAGCTCTGTGTGGGCAGTGACTGCTTTTCTCTATGTCCTTGTCATCTGTTATTTGACACTTCATTTCCCATCTCTGCACCTTTGCATGTCTGGGATGCACTCAAATCCTTGAACAGTCGTTCAAGGCTCTACTCAAGTAGTGCCTCCTGCAGGAAGCCTTTCCTGATCCCCTTAGTTATTCATCTCTTTCCCTATTCTATACCCCCAAATAGAATGCAAACTCCTACAAGTCAGGGGGCTGGTTTTCATTTTGTCTTTGTGAAGAAACTGAGGTCTAGAGGATTGTGAAGCAAGTTTTCCAAGATCCCATGAATAGTAAGCAGCAGAGCAAGGATTGGAACCCAGGTCCTCTGACTCCAAATCTGGTGCTTTTTCTGTGATACCATGGTCTTTAGGGGGAAAGGGCAGTTAGGTGGTGCTGCAGTGTATAGAGTTCGGGGGTTTAGAGTCAGGAAGATGAGTTAAAATGTGACCTCAGACACTAGCTGTGTGACCCTGGGCAAGTCACTTAAAACCCTGATTACCTCAGTTTCCTAATCTGTAAAATGAGCTGGAGAAGGAAATGGCAAACCACTTCAGGATCTCTGCCAAGAAAACCCCCAAATGGGGTCACAGAGAGTCAGACTGGGCTGAAAAATGACTCAATGACAACGACAATAACAACAACAACAAACTATTGGACTGAAGGTCAGAGGTCCTGAGTTCAAATTCTGCCATGGTAACATATGTGACCTTGGGTAAATTGCTTGCCCTCTAAAGGCCTCGGTTTCCTCCTCTGTAAAATGAAGGGGTTGGCCTAAATGACCTTTAAAGTCCCTTCCAGTTTTGAGTTCCTTCCCCAATCTCTCCCCCACCTGCCTGCCACATTTTACCACTACCTGTGCCCTGTTAAGTTAGCATGTTCATGCTCATTAATGCCTTACCAAGGTTAAGTTTCCCAGGTCACCTGAGAGTGAGGGCAGAGGAGATGGGAGCCTGGGAGGGCCAAGTTTGGCCTAGGGAGAAGACCTAGAGCACAGGCTGCTGCCTTGGGGGAAGGGAGGGCTGGAAAAAGAGGCTTGGAAAAGAGCTGGAGTCAGAGGTGATGAGCTGGGGAGGGAGGCAAACCTGCCCCTCCCCCTTAGGAGACCCACACAACTTAGCATCTCCTCCCAACCCTTATCTTCCTGGAACTGTTGGACTGTCAGTCTGGGTGATAGCAAAGAACGCTGGGATTAAATGAGTTGACAAGCTAGCAAACCAGTAAGTCTTCTCTGTCACTGGTCCTGGCCACCAGCCCTTTATGGTCTGGACTCTGCACTATGGACGTGCTATTAATTCTTCGAGGCGCCATCCAACCCAGGGCTCTCCAGTATCCTGGCAACCCTCCCCTTGATGTTGATGGCAGCCCCGCCTGCCTCTCCTCCTCCCCTTCCCTATCTCTTTATCCCTTATCTCCCCCATCACTCTCCTCTTAGCTCATTCGTTTCCGGAATAAAGCCCTGACTGAGACCTGGTTTATATCAGGGAAATAACCTGGGGAGTAGATAGAGCTAAGGGCTTAAGGTCCATGCTTTGTTGGGTCTTCTCCAGGGTTACAGCCTGCTGACTTCAAGCTTTGGTCTGGGGCCAAGTTATGGGCTAGATGAAAGCATTTAGCAACTCTCTTCTCCTGCTGACCCTCCACAGTTGTGTCTGAAAGCAGAGCCTTGGTTAGCAGGGGATGGGGGTGGAGCCCCCATTGTGGGGCTTGTCCTGGGTGCCCTGGTCCCCAGCTTCTACCTTTCCCTCAGCACTTGAACGCTAATCCTAAGCCTGGACAGGGTAGAGTCAGAATTTTCAAAACTGTGCTATTGGCCAGGGGAGGAGGGGGAGTCATCCCCCCTTCTCTTCTAGGTATCATTGATCAGATGGGGATTCAGGCGAGGGGATGGGCCCCCCACCATGCTCCATACTTTCCTAAGCCCAGTCCCTTTTGTCACGGGTCAGGCATCTGTCTCTGTATGAGCCTGGCCCATTAGAGGTCACGAGGGTCTAGCTCACAGAACCCCAGATGCTCAGAATGGAAAGAGATTTCAGTGGCCATCTAATCCAGTCCCTTCTTCGAAGTACCCACTTTCAGCCTTTGCTTAAAGACCTCCAATGGTGGGGAAGCCATTGCCTCTGACATGTCCCATTTTCTCATGTTGGGAGGTGTTTTCTGACGTCAAGCCTTTGGCCTCTTTGCAGCTTCCTCACTGGGCCTGGTTCTGCCCTGTGGGGCCAGACAGAACAGGCTGAGGCCCTCCTCCATAGGAAAGGCCTTCCAATCCTTGAAGACAGCTCTCATGTGTCACCTTCTGCCCCCAATGCCCCAGGTTCTCTCAGTACCCGAGGATGGAGGTCATCTGGGACCAGTGACTTGAACTCATAAAAGGCAGCTAGTTAATCTCTTGTTATCTCCTTCCTTATCTTGGGCATCAACTCTCCATCAGCCACTTTTGCTCTGGCCTTCCCAGTGCAAAGGTCAGTCTCCCTTGCCGAGAAAACAACCCAAATAAACACTGGGCCATTCTGCTTTCTCTCTATTGTCCATTATCATTGACCTGTCCGCCTCTGGCAGTGGCCCCAGGGCCTTGAAAGAGGTAACGTGCTACCTCTGGGAGGTACACTGGCAAGACAACAGGAAACCCAGTTGCTGCTAGTTACTACCCGGGTGGCCTTTGCCAAGTCACTTCCTCCCTCTGGGCCTTGATTTCCTCCTCTGTAAAATGAGCAGCTTGGACTAGATTCTCCCCCCTCCTCCCCAGGGCCCTTCCACACTAACTCTAGGATCCTCCTTCTGTCCCTGTCCTCCTGGATAGAGAACTGGCCTCCAAGCCAGGAAGACTTGAGTTCAAGTGCAGGCCCTGGTTAAATGACCCTGGGCAAGTCCCTCAGCCTCTCAGTGTCTCAGGCAGCTCTAAGAATATAAGTTGCAGAAAAGTTGTGAAGGAAACCACAGGCCCAATGCCTGGTCCTAAAGCTTTAGTTGTCCTTTGGTATCATCAGCCAGTTCTTACAGGACCATGCCAACCCTTGTGTGCCCAAACCCTGGAACCTTTCCTTAGTAAGCCACATAGTTCTCTTTGAACAACTTGAGTTCTTCTTCCCTGTTGGAATTGTTGCCATTTGTGATGGTCTATCTTTTTGTTGTTCAGTTACGTCTGAGTCTTCATGACCCCACTTGGGAATTTTCTTGGCAAAGATACTGGACTGGTTTGCCATTTCCTTCTCCAGCTCATTTTACAGAGGAGGAAACTGAGGCAAACAGGGTGAAGTGACTTGCCCAGGGTCACACAGCTAGTATGTGTCTGAGGCCAGATTTGAACTCACCAAGATGAGTTTTCCTGACTCCAGGCCTAGCACTCTATGCACTGCAGCATCACCTAGCTGCCCTGATGGTCTATCTATCAGATGACATAATCAGGCAGCTGGAGTTCAACGTGATAACTATAGACTGCCTAGAGATCCTGGTATACCAAAGAACCAGCTGTGGGACTGAAATGAACATCTGGGATCAGGAAGCAAGGAGTAAGACCCTGACACAGAGGCACCTGAGGTCCTAATCCCCACTGTAGGTAGTGATGGATCAGGGGACCTGGTAGGGAGGGATCAGGGTCAAGAGAACATGCTCTGTCTCAGTGATTAGATTTGAGGGTGGGCACATTTGAGTTAGGGGTTCTGGGCTGGAGGACAGACTCTGCCCCTTAACACTAGCTCAGGCCCTTCCCCTCTCTGGTTTGCAGAATGATGGGACTCTACCTTCTGGCCCAGCCATTCCATGGTTGTCTGATTCTCTACTTCAATGGGGCCAATAGCCTTTGCCCTGCCTAGCTCAGCTCCTGGGGGGCAGGGGCCATGACTCCTACAACTCTGTTCACTCCCCAGGTCCTTCCCTCCACCTTTTTCCTTTCCTCCAAGGTGTGAGGTAAAGTCAACCACTCAGCAAACACATACAAAGCCCTGCCTTCTTGGCCCCAGGGTGCTGTGTGAAATAATACCCAGCTCAGAGCAGTTCAGAAAACTGTAGTCAAGGCTACAAGGTCAGAGAGTCATAGATCCCGGAGCTGAGAGAGACCTCAAAGGCCATCTAGGCTAGTTCAACTCCTTCGTTTTACAGAGGAGGAAACTGAGACCTAGGGAGGAGAGTGACTTGGGATTATAGGATCCTAAGGGACCTTGGAGGCCATTTAGTTTAACCCCTTCATTTTACAGAGTAGGACACTGAGACCCAGAAAAGTCACTAGATCACAGACCTAGAGCCTAAAGGCACCTCAGGGGCAGCTGGATGGTGCAGTGGGCAGAGCACTGGATCTGGAGGCAGGAAGACTCCTCTTCCTGAGTTCAAATCCAGCCTC